CGGAAAACGAGCGCCCAGCGCGTTCGTAAAGGGATTGCAAAGTAGCAATCCCTTCACGCATCTCAGAAGAGATGCGAGGCCTCCACCAGGGCTCAGTAAGGAGGTACGCCTCCTTAGGCGCTCTTGACGAGGTGCTCAGGCACCCCGGGCATGGGTCGCCCCAAGAGAGGCATAACAGGCCTGCCTCTCTCGATAACCGGTGCAAACGATAGCATGCACCGGACGTACTTCGTTTCTCAAACTTATTGCGGCTAGCATAAAGTCTTTGAAACCAAGCCTCTTTCCCAACGTTTAAAACGTTGGCGATAAACGCGTTCCAAGATTGGAGGAACGCGTCAGCCTCACGCTTCTTGTGTGGGCCATACCATCGATGTTCAAGGAACACATCGATGTAATAATCGTTCTCAGTGCGAAAATTCTTCGCACTGGCGTCAAGGCCATGAAGCTTTGACGCATCAAACAACGGTATGGGGAACCGTTCGTTGGTCTTTCCAGACCAACGATCAAGCAGATGCTTAGGTAGCATTCATGGCTTGCGATCAGGAGCAAGACGCAATACGTTGTGGTCTAAAGCCTCCTGCGTGGTGTCAACAGAAGTACCGACACTATGAGCATTGATGTCAGTAGAAGCACTGACATCACCCTTACGGTCCCCACCCGAGTCACTATCCTTCGACTCGTTTGGCGAGTCGTCTGATTCATCAGACGACCCGAACATTTCACGGTACATTGATTCACTCAATGTACCACGATCTCTCTTCGTAGCATTAGACGACGAGGTATCACCCCGGGGAGAGCCCGGGAGTGACACAGGTGGCTTTGAGTCGGATGCGTCATCCGACTCACCAGAGTAGTCAGCGACTAACTCTGGGTCAACATCTTCACGTGGCGAAGCGCTACGTGAACCTGCAACAGGCGTTGCAGGCTGATGTTGACTTCCAGCAGACACATTAGTGTCTGATGACTGAGGCTGTGAAGCCTCAGTAGCGGCTGCACACAGGCGTGCAGCCGAGCTCTCGGCTGCCTTAGCAGCGACGCGCATTGACTTTGTCATAGCGTAATTGTTGAATGAAAGAAAATTCAACAAGTTCTCCTTTCCCATAGTCATTAAACAGTCACTAATGTGACTGTTGGTTGAGGGGGAGGGTGATGTAACGGGGTGAGCCCGTTACATAATATTGACACTTATATGAAGTGTCAATAAAATATTATTATAACTAATAATATTTTGACAATATTACCTTTTCTTATAATATTGTTCCTAGATCTCCTTGAAGTTGGAGATGCCCTCTTATTGGTTGATATGGGCCATCATATCAGCCAACGCGCTGACCAATGACCGATGGACGCGCGCAATGAGTGGAGGGCAAGTTGTCGACATACATAGTTGTAGTTTAATATAGTTAACATAGGTTATAACAGATTAGTTTTATTAAGATAGTTAACTATATTAAATACAGTTTTCTTTTCCTCTACTTCTAAGCGTTTGTTTAGAAGTAAAGCTTCCTCTGCCTCTTGTGTAAGAGAGGTAATTGAGGCACCTGCTTTCACTGTAATCAGTGAAAGTAGACTATACTGTAATCAGTATAGTCGGAGGGTGCCCCATTACACAAGAAATATATATCAAGCTGGCATTTAAACAGGATGCAAACTTCTTTGCAACGGAGTTAGGTCCAAGATAGAATATCAGCTGGTTCAAAACCCTCGACGAAGGGCCAAAGCAATTTCGGGCTCTTGGCCATAGCCCACAAGCATATTGAGTTGCTTTTTGTGGATGCAGCATACAGCCATCATAAGTCATTAGAAAACACCCCGCCTCCGCCACATGTCAACATTAGTAACACATGAGCGATGACGACATGGAGCCAGACGTCTTCGCATTTGTTGAAGGCAGAGTTCTAAGACCGCAGTGAGCAAAGTCGAGGAAAATACCTCAAAATTATTTTGCTTTTTCGCCTGTTCACATACACTAATTGCCATTGGAGTGGTGAGCACTGCATCAGCTGCAATTCCCGACACTTGCAAGGATGGCAAGATTTTATCTGGCCATTCCCGCGTCTTCAACTCCGTTTGAGAGAGGTTTCTCTCAAGGTAAAAAGACTTACAGGTAGAACAGAACTTTGCTTTCCCCTAAAAGCTTGGAGAGGCTTTTGTACTTCAAGGATTGGATAAGGACACAGGGTCACGTTATTTTGTCGGCAAGGGACTAGTTTTTTCCTTTGTCAGCTCGCTTGAACTTCCCAGTGGGAGACGTAGAGTGTGGATACTTTTATTATCAATTTTCATTATGCTTTTCTCTCTTCCATATTATTTAATAGTCCGCATGTTTATTGCGCGGGTAACATGGGTAATTACCCGCGGGTATGAGTCCAAGTCGTGGGTAATGAAATTTGAATGAGTCTGAGTCGTGGGTAAACGCAATTACCCAACCCAGCCTTATGGGTACCACCTCTATCGTGAACCATATCATTATCGTCAATATGTGTCGAGGATCACGAATTACGACAGTAGGTGTGTGTGTTGTGTAAAGGGAAAGACAGTGGTCTTCGAATGATCTGGATTGAGTGATCAGTTTACAAGGATAATTATACATTCATTTGAGTAGTAGTTTAACTCTTAATGCCACTTTTCATTCGGCAGCCCAAAGAAGTAGTTGAGCTTTCGTTACAATATGTAGGACAAAAAGCCGTGCACTGCGAGAAAGTCGACAGTAGTTTTTTTTGGAAATTAGGCTGGTGCTGGGTGCCAAACTGTGGCGCTTTTGTTCGTTGACAAAGCGTACCGTAAAAATTTGACGGGCCAAATGATCTTATCAACTTACTAAGCTATAGTAAGCAGCAAACTTGACGTTCCGATGTTTGAGATATTTATTTAATCAGATCGACAAAACCGTAGTAATTTCTGTCTATGTGTGATTTAGATAGTTCAGGCGCAACAAAAAGCCACAGCCACGACGATCACACAAAAGTTTCAGAAATGCTGTGTGCATGTTAAATTTTTAAGTGTGGTAATATTGCTTTACTTCGATACCTTCACTGTAGAAGAGATCATCTGTTCTACACTGGACGTATCAAAAGCCAGAAGGCTCCAGTTAATTGGATTTACGAAATGTATGGATTTAATTCCATTTTTGATCTCCAAATCACAAGATAAAGGAGAGAAGGAGAAGCTTTGTCATGCAGCCAGCATTCCGTCTAGCGCCTACAACGGTCATAACATTCACTTACAAGTGCGCCGCCATCCACAGAGTTTACACACTGAAACGCGCGCTTTACAGCTGTCGACATCGTCTCTTCAGCTGCCTCAGCGCGTGTTCATTTATACCCGAAACTTGCAAGAGCTCGGGCCAGGCACATGCTCTGGAACATCTTGTTCTTGGCTCAGCCAGCGACATGTTAGATGTTTAGCGATTAGACAATTTATAGAGCAAATGCAGATAATGGTGTAAATGTATAGATAGTGCTGCAGATACAGCTGCTAAATTTGCACAGGTCTTGTACTTTGTTTATTGGCTATTCAGATATATTGTAGCTGTCGCTGGCATGCTAACGTTAGCGCTGGCAGGAAATAACCATTCCAAATGGGGCCCTTCGGTCGCTTTGTGCGCAATCGATGTCTGATCTATGTCTTAAGTCCAAGTACGTGGCAATGATAACATCAACTCTATGTACACAATCAACTTGGTGAACGCGCGCTGTGATCGTACGAACAAATGGCCTCTGCCTCTTCTAAAGCTCGCTCTACAACAACTGATGCTGCGGGTAAAGGTTTGAATCTGCTTATAAGTACAACATTTGTATATTGAGTACAACATTTGTATATTGAGTACAACATTTGAATATTAATACCGAGAGTAAATGATTGACATGACATTGTGTATAGCATCTACGCACGGGTTCTGTGACCCCGCAGAGACAGCTCTTACGAAGATAAAGAGACAGACAGACAGACAGACAGACAGACAGACAGACAGACAGACGAGTCTATTTAATCGTTTAGGGATTGCAGGATGTCTGTTAGTTCATAAGCCTGATTAGCAACGCCGGTGCTCGATCGAGTCCCGAGATTGTTACGGGCTGGCACCTGCTCGGAATTGTCCGGCTATACTGATGCAGCATAGCAGCGTAGCAGCGTGTACCATTGTTTATGTCCTTATAAGTCGCTCGAGCGGCCCGTTTGTCTATAGTGCGTGGCCGCCGAAGCGTATAACCATATGGCCGCTTAAAGTAAGAACCAATACGCCTGTAAAGTCATGATGGAGTACGCGGCCTGGAATAATACTCGGCTGATGTTGAGAACTGCTTGTGGTAAGCTTTATAGAAGATTACAATGTTGAGAACACGGCCATTGCCTGTGCAGAATGTGTATTTAGATCCACTACATGTTTTGCAGTCGGGTGGTACCTTTGCGTTACTTGACGAACAAGCGCGTGAATGAAGCGCTCAAAGTTTTGACCAACGTGTCGCTACTAAGTTTGTGCCACAATCTTGCTTTACATGGCACACAATCCGCAGGCTACCAACAGGGGGTGGGTTTGCTCTCGAAGCAGTTCTTTTGCAAGAAGTTCCTTGGTAAAAGGCTCCGCTTTCCCGTTCTGTGTGCTTACTAGTTCAGCTCACAAGGCTTGGCGGAAAGCGTTATCTTTAATCCCTGGACTCTCTCATTTATGAAATGTACAATCAGCCAATTCCGATATTATATCACTATACAAATAGTCGTTAAAACTCCATAAAGCCAATTGTATGAAATTGTTTTTATTCCATATATTGTTTTTCTATAAGTAAAAACCATGATGTAGCTATTGTTGTGACGCGTAAGTACCCCTTATGTCGCTGAAAAGTAAAACTACTCTTGAAATAGCCAGTCACCGACAAGAGAGTCGAAGTTTTGTAGCAATCCCAGTCAAGAGAGAGAGAGAGTCAGCACAGTATTTGACATCTATTATTTTCCTATTAATCAACAGGACAAAGTCGAGAAAAACCGAGCGCGTTACAATGAAAATGGTGTCTCCATCTCAACCAGAGGATGAAATGCGTCCATCGCACAACTCGCGTTTGTCTCTTGTCGATCACTTTACACCCAATGGCAATGGAATGGCTAGTGCGACAAAGAGACTTGGTATGACGCAAGGTGGTCCACGTCCATCTATGATGGCTTCTATGATGAGACCCTCTGCCATGATACGACCATCTGTGGTCACGGACTTGAGCAATAATTTTTCCCAAACAAAAATCCTCGATGCTCATGTCCAAATTTTTGCTAACGATGTGCTGATGGAGGGTGAATTGACAAAAAAGGGGGAGTCTGGTCTTCGAAATTGGAAACAGGTACGGACGTTGTATACACTTGGTATACATTGGTTATCTTTTTTAACGAAAACTAATCGTATACATATGATTTTGGTAGCGTTTGTTTGTGCTACGTGGACAAGAGCTATCATACTATACCATTGACTCGAAACAGCGATGTGGTGCATTGAAAGGCACTTGGGATGTTGTAGGAGCATCCGTGGAACGTCAAGACAATTTGTCACTCAGTTTAAAGTTGGCCAGTGGAAGTGCTCGGATTCTTGGAGCTCCTAATGTGCAGACGCTTATGGATTGGATGACGGCTATTGCAGTCGCTGCAGAGGCTCATTTTGTTGAGCCCATGACGGACTTGTCACTGGTAGACCAAAGCCGTACGACGCACATCATTTTGGTGCGTCATGGTCATTATGTCAGGTCGGAGACGCCGTCAATAGACATGAATGGATCGTTGACGGAATTGGGAGTGCAGCAGGCCCGTACGACGGGTAAATTCCTGCACACTTATTTGTCGGAGAGGATGGTGTTGAAACGGTTTCCCAAGCTCCCAGTGTACCACAGCGGCATCCATCGAGCAGTTGAGACAGCAGAACGGATTGGGGAGGCTTTCCCGCCAGGATCGCTGGAGCTTCGTGAGAACAAGTTGTTCCGTGAGGCGTGGCCGGGTAACCCGTTGCCGAATGGCAACCGTCAGCAATTGGCAAGAGAGAAGCTCGATAACATGGTGTCAGACTGTGCTCGCCTCAAAATTGCATATCGCACCATGTTTCGACACCTGATTCCACAGGACGTGGAGATGGAGGAGCGTGATTTGAGCCAAGAAGACCACGAGCGCTATGTCAGCAAATTTGCCATACGCTCGACGCAGACTCGTGCGACTGACAGATTCCGTGTGGTGGTGTGCCACTCTAACATTATCCGATGGTTTGTGTGCAAAGCGTTGGGTGTGAACCCGGATGGTACGTGGGGTCGCATGCGTTACAATCACTGCGGCATCACTGCCATGGAAATCGACAGTGTCGGTAATGTGCAGCTTACATTCATGAACCAGACGGGACATTTGGAGACTACGCAGCTTACTGAGGTGTAGTTTGGCCAACGAGCAAGTAAGTTACCAAGTGACTACGAGCCTGGTCAACTTTGTTTTGTAGGAATTTCATGTGGTAAAATGAACATATCGGGGAGAAAGGAGATTGCTGGTTGAGCAGTGGAAATATCTAGCGTTTAGTGTCGATTAGCTGCTGATAAATTTGGCTTCCGGCCCTGGTGCATCATATACTGACTGACGTTAAATCTTGCATTGATAAAAGTAAAGCGGGTTGACACAAAACAAAATGCGCGAGAAGAGCAGATAGAAAGAAAGCAGGAGCCTATATGCTCTATTTTCTTGCGGCATGGGTCCATTTCTTGAACTTCTCTACTAACGAGCTAGCCAAGTCTAGTTTCTTGATGCCTGAATTGACAGATTGGTAGACTGCTTAGAACTTGAAAACCTGCGTGTCAGTATATCCTACTTCTTTAAGCAGGCCCTTGAGCTCCCCCTGGCTCCGGTCAGGGGCCTTGTTACCTGAGATAGCGCCCATCATGGGAGGGGGTCCGCACACGCCGATGAAACTCTCGTTTGACGGACCAGGCAGGAGTTTCTCGATGAGCTCTTTTGTCACATATCCCGTGTAGCCCTCCCAATTGGCCTCGGCCTCGCTCAGCACGTAATGCACCTGGAACTGCGGGTACATGTACTGTAGTGCATCCAGCTCGTCTCGGAGGATAATGTCCTTCTCCGTTTTATTGCAGAAGACAAGCACCACTTGCGTCGAGTCGTTTGGGTTGCGGCAAATCTCCTTGATCACCTGCAGCCCTGGGGTGATGCCCGAGCCGCCGCAGATGAAGCCAACACTTTTGTACTGGTTGGGCTTGTACTCGAACTTGAGAAACGGACCCTTCATGGCCAGTTCATCCCCCACGTTAAGGTTGACAATATGTTTGCTCAGTTTTCCATTCGGATAGCCCTTGACCACAAGCTCCAGCCTGCCCTTCTCGTCGTTTGTGTTAGTGGGCGTGTACGGGCGCACGACCGGCTTGCCATTCAAGTCGAACTTGGCCATGAGACAGCTAGCCGCTGTGGTGCCCATCTCGTGCTCCTCGGTGGGTAGGGCGAACACCAGGCGCTTGGTGTCATGGGTTACGTCTTCCACCTTGGTCACCTTGAAGGAGCGGAACTCCTTGGGACTCAGCGCCACCTTAGGTTCCTCGGCGTTGCGCGCGGCGGTCGAAAAACTAGCCAGACCCAAAACAGACACCATCGCAGTGGCGGAAACAGCAGCGCTCGGCTGGTGGGACGCGGAACGAAGCATAAACGAGAACATAGTTAATGAGAAGGTTAAGCTTTAGATTGCACAATTGAAACTGATTGGCGTCGTCGTGCACTCCTCATCGAACGGATGTCACTCGATATTAATAATCATCCTCATTGGGTGAAAAAAATCAATCGTTTCAATATTCGCAACACTTGCAATCCACCAAAACCTGTTTGTTGGCTGGCAAAAAAACGGTGTTTGGGATGATAAAAATGAAGATACGACGATGCCGAAATCTCCAGCGAAGTCACTCAAACGAGAAAGAATCAGCAGCGGACCAATCCACGGTGCGGGTACTAGCTTGCGAGCGGCCAATAGAAACGCGGTTGACTTTCTTCGTCTTGGATTGACGCGATCGTTGCGTAACCTTCGTCGACGTGCGACGCTTGACGACGTTTTTGTTGGACTGGCCCACCTGCTACAAGGCTGTTAGCTCAACGCGATTGATTACCAAGCGCAAGCAAGTAACAAATCATACCTTTTGTAGCTGTGGCTTTTTAGCGTCAGCTTGGCTTGTCGTGAAGGGCACTGCTGTATCGGACGTCTGCTTTGTCAGACCAACATCGCCTGCAGATTGTGATACCTCAAGATCATCGTCGCAGCCGATTGGAGAATAGAGAGATCCTTGGCTTGATAATTGCACGGCATGATCTGACTGAGTGCTGGAAACGCTGCCTACATTATTGGCAGGAAGTGCAGCTTCCGGTGTAATACTTGCGGTCTTCACTGATTTTCCCGCTTTCTGCGCTGGTGTGCGCCGCTTCAATCGAGGTTGACGTGCTCCAGTAGTATCGTTTCGTCTGCATTGCTTCGAGATGGTTTCATTACTGGGATAAATTGCCTTCGTTGCCGCTATCACAGTTGTGGAGTCGGTGGTGAAGATGTCTGTCAGCTCTTTGTCAGTCTGTGGCGACTCATCCACCAAATTTAATCCAGGCGCAAGTTGGCGCCGCGCAGACTTCAAAGCTAGCTTCTGCACTATTTTCGTCTTTTCTTGCGTCAGCTTTGAAGAACTTTTCGTGACAACTGGAACCTACAGAAGCGCAAAATGTGTCAGCCTATAGCAAAACTTCATGTGCCAGCTAAATATCATCGTTTGTCCCCGCACAACCTTGGTGGTAGTGGTATCGTTGCTTGAGCGCTCGTTCCATAGCGGGTCAGCGTCTTGGTTCTCGCCCTCGTTGTTACCCACACCGTCTTCAGTTGGTGCAATTTCTGAGCCGTCATCCGCTTCAGGGTTATGGCCTGTCGCAGACAAAGGCAACGAAGGATTCTCGCGAGCTGGTTTCTTCATTATAGCTGTCTTGCCCGTGCGTTTATTATTGCACGTCATGGAGACAGCTGCAAGCTTTTCTCTCTTCTCCGCGGTCTGAGCGTTCAGCATTTTTAATTTTGCGTTGTATTGTTTTTCCTGATCGCCAAACAAGAGACAATGGTTCAAAGGTCAGTTGGCTGATTGATGTGTCTATCAACTCCACTTACCTTTTGTGACAAAATCTTGCCATATTTTTTGCGCGCGGCGGCCGACAGATCATCGTATCTTTGCTTTAGCTGTCGTATTCGCAGCAAACGGACTGGTCAGGCCAAAACATTGATATTCGCAAATAAACGCACAAGCAGTTCACATCTACTGCTTGAGAAAATCAGTACGATATCTACCATTTTTGTCTCGCTGGCAATCGCATCACAAACTATTTCGTCGGCGTCTTTCGTTGCCCAATTTGCAATCTGTGAGGAATACAGCTTTGTCGGCATAAACTCGTGGTGATGTGTCGATCTTATGACAGTTCCACGTACCTCCTTGTTGAGCAGCTCAATCAAAATGTTAGCATCGTCAACGACAAAGGTGCTCAAGAACTTGTCGCGTATTTCGTCGATACGGTTTTTTACGGCAGTTTGTGCTGCTGCAGTATCATCCTTTAGCATTGCCAACACTTTGTGTATCTGTTGAATTTCAGACTCCAACACAGCGCAGGATGAACGCAGTTTTTCAGACTCCATATCTTGTGTAGTTCGGAGCTGCTGAGTGCGTTCAACATTCAGGGAGGCTTGCTCCAATGCATTTTGTACTGCCAGAATTTCAGCATCCACAAGCTTCTTGGTAGCTGCAGATTTTACCACTTGCTCCTGATTTGTGGCAATTTTTGACTTCCATTCAGCGAGCACCTTTGTCTTTTGAGCAAGCTTCTTGTTGACAGCTGTCAAATTCTTATTGCGGGCGGAGATGGCACGCTCAGTCGTCTTCAGTAGTATTTCAGCATCTTTAATTTGGTTTTCACACGAAGTCACTGATGCTTTGTGTTCTTTAAGAAATGCCTGATAAGCTGAAACACGCAACATCAGTTAGTACATGTACCCCCACCCTGGACACCTCCAAAACACCTACTGATTTCTTCAGATGCGTGTGCCATTTTTGCTTCTTTTTGCTCATTTTCGAGGTGAACGCGTTGACACTCTAGCCAAGTTAGCTGTTCGTCCTTTGCCTGCTCACAAAGACACTTTTGTTATGCAGCTTGAAGTCATGATGTCTAATAATCACAGAGGTCACCTTGATACTAGAAAGTGTAAAGGCCAGCCATTCCTTTTCTTGTTTCTTTCGTAGAGCTAGCTCTCGTCTGACAAATTTGGCACTAGTCACTTCCTCCTGAAGTGAAAGCAATGATTAGACCTGTGATTGACATTTAACCGCAGGGTGACGTACGTTGACATGCTGCAACCGTGATTGAAAATCCTTGGCTAACTGCAAAACTTCCTCATCATCCGGGCACGTCGCCTTCAATGTACGCACATAACGCGGTAAGTAACACTTTTTCGTAGCTGGCGAACACTTTTGCGGCTCGTACCCCGTTGCTTTCAAGCAACATCTGCAGTTTTCGCTGTTCACTGCATCCACCGTCAATCTAATTACTAGTTAAAATAGCACTGCACAGTGGTGTACCTTATCGCACTTTCGTTTGCAATTGCAAGCTGGCGGTGTTCTTCATGGATCATGCCTTCATCGTTTTGCCAGATCTGATAAAATGTTGTAGTAGTTGGCGAGATGCCTTAAACAATGCGCAAGAATAACAAATAGTTGCCTACTATCTGCAAATCTTCAACCGCGCTCTTTCCACTCTGCAAAGCAGTGTCGACTTTTTCCGCCATTGCTGCCTCATGCTGCCCACTTTGGCTAGCAATGTGAAGACGCTTGTCTTCTTCAGCAAGTTCAGCTTGATCATACTGTACAAAATACACACATAGTTTGATAAATAGGGTAACAGAGACACCGTCGCTACTGGAACCCGTTCAAATACCTCAAAGTTCCATTGAGTTGAGCGAATATCTTCGTGTAGAAGGTCAAGAGTGCTTCGAGCTAGAGCAAAAGCAAGAGTAAAAGCATGAGCGACGGCACGTATCCTCCCTCTCTTCCGTTCTCATACCTTCATTCAATTGTTCGTTCTTTGATATAAGAGCCAATGTCTCTCTAGACGTCTGCTCTTCAATCCCCATGCATCGTTGCTCCAGTCCAACATGCTTGTCTACCAGTCCAAGCAAAATGTCCTTCAGCACGCCACACTTTTCAGCCGTAGCATCGAGCTCATTCATTCCAATAGCGTCGCTGAGATGACTTTTGAATTTGACTCCATCTGTTGCTGTGTATGCATCTAGTAGCATTTTTAGCGATACGAGCTTCTCACGATGTAAGCACCTTCTTGCTCTATTGAATCACAATAGAATCAGTCTCGTTACTAAGAACAAAAGTGACATCGACGATGGCGCACTGTAGCTGTCCATTTGTCATGAGCAGATACTCGTGGTTTTCTTGTAGTTTGGAAAGCATCTCGTTGCGTTGAACAAGCATCTTCTCGAGCTTGGTAACCTCCATCTGTAAGATCCTCTCCTTCTTTGCCACTCTACATACAAACATCAAATTTACTTGGTCGATTGATCATAACGTCACAAAATTTCTCACGTACAGACTCAATGACAATGGAACGAGTGTCTTTGCATCCTGTGATACCGGTATGTCTTCTATGGTGTCTGTCATGTCGCGTGCGATCCCCATTATTTCACTTGCTCAATGGCTCCTTTCCTTTTGATTCTTACGTCGAGTGCGGACATCAAGAGTGTTGGTCTTCACTTCAACTTACGATCTGATTCTGTCAAACCCCCAGCTAAAAAGTCTCTAAAGAAGAATATAGCGACCAATTTATGAAATTAACGAGGGTCAGCGCTTTTTGCCTGGACCTTTTTCGACTGCTCCTACGATTGGTCCGCGAATTTTTTGATAATGATTGGGAGACTTCAAGTCGCCCATGAAACGAAATAAGAGGCGGAGGTAGGATGCGTATCCGATCCTAACGGCTACGCAAAAGTTGTATAAATTTGGCTTGGCACTGCATTCACGATCCTTTTAGTGGACGCCAGCCCAGATATTTTTTTTGGCTGCTTGGCGTCGCACATAGATTGTAGCGCAATATTCACTGAAAACAAAGGTTTCGTGTCGGAAAGACGATGGAAAAGGCCACGACCGGTACAAATGAGTCGAAAAGCCCAGTGCCAAACGGAGACTTTCCATCCGAACCACGCGTCAAAATATTTAATGAAGCGGTGACTATCATATCGATCGATCGCCTTCCCCCTTGCCATCCTCTACCGTTCTCTCCAGCTGCTTCGTAGTCCTCAATCTCATTCTCAAATTGGAAAGCTAGTCATCATTTCGTCGTCTCCTTTGTCGAGCCATCCGACCGTCTCGCCTCCCCGGCTGAAACCTGGAAAGCCATGAGTTCGTCCTCTGCACTTGTGACGCTATTGCACATGACCACCGCTGCCATCCAGATCGGTATGAACTTGAGTCCAGCTCCGGATATGTACCGAGTGCACAACTCCAAGACAACGGGACAAATGGCATTGCTTCCGCTCGTGCTCATGTGTTTTAACAACCACCTGTGGCTCCTCTACGGATTGCTGACCGAAAGCATTTTTCCACTATGCGCTGCGGCGCTGGTTGGTGAAATTGCCGGGGTCGTCTTTACAAGCATCTACTATCGCTGGGCACAAAACAAGTTTGAGTCTCGACAGACCTGCGCTGTTGCTTTGTTTGGAATGGCACTCGTCACGATGTACGTGCTCCTCGGTGTTGGTGGTAAAACAGGCCAGACTTTTGACCAAGTTGTGCAGTCCTTGGGCTACGTTGGTGCGACCATTAACATTTGCATGTACGCGTCGCCCTTGGCCACGATCAAGGTCGTACTAGAGACCAAGTCGTCGGCGTCGCTGCCCATCAACTTGTGCGTCATGATCTTTCTCAACTGCTGCATGTGGGTAGCTACGTCTATCGTGGACGAAGACATGTTTGTGTTGGTCCCAAGTGCCATTGGCCTTGTCTTTAGCGGCGTCCAGATACCGCTGTACTTCATCTACCGACCGTCGAATGAGTACATGGATCTGAATGCTCAGTTGGAAGAAGGCTCCAGTACATCTACTATCAAGACTGTTGAGCTTGACATGAAACATGTGCTACCCACGACATACCGAATCGTGCGTCCGTCCCGTGTGGCTCGCTTCATGGGCTACCAATACCAACGCGCGGAAGGAACCCCTGTCATGATAGCAGGTACGCCTTCGTACTCCGGCACTGAGAGAAGCCCACATTTGTTCGATGAGCTCTCGATGATCTCCACACCGGGTTCGCTACGCTACTCGTCCGTTGTCGAAGACGACTACGATTACGACATGCAGCCGTTGCTCGTGACGCCCGTCTCAGTCTAGACATTCGTAGCTTCAATCCTCATTAGTCCATTGACAACTTTGAGATTGAAGTATTCTAGCGACTACGATATACCAGAGGAACAGACTTTCATCATAACGAAAATCGAAAAAATAAGTCGGTTTTGACATTGTCTCATTATTGTGGAGCTGTTAGCAGTAGCCTACTACGTGACACCAATGTGTAGTATGTCAAGCAAAACAATGTACCCACTTGTCCGCCCGCCATAATGCCGTCTAATTAACAAGTTAATAACGTTCTTAATCAAGCCGCACGACCACCAAATGCATGTATTGACGATACCAACCGACTCATAAAAGAGCTTTCTAATCGTAGAATTACATAGGCAAATAGCAAAGACGTAGTAGATAATATCTAAAGTGGAGCCAATCTTGGCTTTGAGATGCAGTCAGTGAAAGGGGCGGAATGATTTTCTTCCTTCCTTGGACGATAATGTGGAGCTCATTCTGCATCTCTCTAGTGTCTTTGGTTGCAAGTTGCAGCCAAGGGATCCTTCTGTTTGTTAATGCCATAACCCTTTGTTGCTTCATTATCTCTGCAATGATGCCAGTGGTGACCGTAAGGCACAATATTCTGGACTACTAGGATCAGTTCCCTCCTTGGTGCAGCAGACATGAAAGTCGATCTTGGGTGAAAAGTCGACGTTAGACATGACAGAAGTGCCCTCGTCCGTCACACTACCAGCTGTCTTGGGGTTTGTTTGGCAAGCAAAGACAACGTACATGGTCCACGCAGCCACGTGAAGAGTAATGACAAATACTTGAGGTCCAGCAATGATCCAGTTTGAAGTTACGCGGCCGAATGTGAACCAGCCAAAAGTATTGAAAGTAGTCACAGCCAGAGACCGGGGGACGAGCGTTGCAGCGGATCTATGCTTGAACGCATGAACAAGGTTCTTAAGCATGAACATGTGCGTTGAGATAACGGTAACGTCACAAAAACACAAGCCTTGAGTTTTCCAAATCTCGGCGCGTGTCTGACCTGTGAAGCCCAAACTCGCGACAATCACGTAGAAGGTCGGCACCGCAAGCCAAGCAAACATCAACCCAATGGTTTTAGCCACGTGGTGACGATTGTCCGAGTACCTCCAGTAGATGAATAAATAGACGAACGAGACAATATCACCGATGAGGAAGACAGGGAAGCTGGGAAACCACGTTTGCCCTAAATAACCATACAACATCCACACGTGTGTATTGGCGAGCAGCAGGAAAATGGGCACAAGAGTCATGGAGCCAACAGCTTTGACTCGGTAAATGTGACGAATCACAAGCGATGGCATGTAAATCATGAGCAATGTACTGCAAAAGATCCAGCAACGAACCATCAGGACGACGTTCGTATGAACCATTGTGCAAATAGGGAATTGAAAGGGTCCCAGGTGGCTTGTCTTGTCGCACGGATAGGTTCAATATGGATGTATGGATGAGCTTCTCGTTATTGGAAGTGACTCATTGAACGAGAAGAGCCGGAATGGCTGGCGTACAGTACAACTAGACTGCGCACGCGACCTGGTCGAACAAACAATCGACGGTGGGTAGTCATTCCATAGCCAAGTCAGAGCCAAATTGTTTGCACAGTTTGCGACCACGTTTTTTCCTGATGATTGTCACGTCGGCTTTCCTCGAGTTCATATGATTGTAGACAGATCTGCATATACATGTAGTAGAGACTACCACCACCACTGTCTCTTCCACTCGCTATCTTTCTTTAACTGTCACACTATGTGGCAATCCCTACTTGAAACCGAGGCGATGCCGATACTTAAAATGCCTTGAACTAACGCTGAAATGGATGCTAGTGGGGAGAAAACTTCAGATGAAAAAAATTGAGAAACCAAACATCGTGTATGAAATAACTTGGCTTGCCTACCTTTCAGTCATCCTTTCCGTAGACAAAGTCTTAGTGCATGGATAGCATTAATCGACGGTACCGTTGGCGTGACAACATCGGCGATAATTCAAGTAGACCATCCTTGTAAGTATCCTTGTGAACGTACTACTTGCACGAGCCCTCACATCAATAATCGACATTGCACATGTCCCCCCCAAGCAAGTATTGTGTAGATCAAGCACCTGATGAAGTCCAGTGGCAACGCGTCCAAACTGGCAACAAAACGTGAGTCCAGTTATCTTTCTCAGCATCAGCATGGTTTACGCATGGTGACTTGCGTCTGCAGATTGGCGTGTTTACGAAACCTCACTTTGTCATGCTCTTGTAATTGTGAGCTCTCGTCGTCAGAACACCGTTTTCCTGATCCATCTGAACATTGAGACGCCATGGAAATCGAAAGAGCGCTGTGGTGTATGCTCACTATTCAGATGGTTGCCCCACACTCATGTTGCGTCTTCTATAGATCGCTATTGATGCTGTCACTCGTCGTGTTAGCATAACTGGCACGCTCCGGTGCATACTGTCTCTTCATTGAGTAGCTTGCCGTGGTTCTAACTGGCGCACCGTATGCAAACTTGTGAATATCGTTGCGCTGATCGCGTTGAAAGTCCAAGTCATCTTCGTCGTCTTCCAGCGCAAATTCCTCCAAATTATCCTCGTGCATAGGAACTTCCAGATACGGGTTGACCGGCAACGGACGGAAGCGATAGCCAGTGGCGATGAAAAAGCCCAAAGCAGCTAGTTCGCTCACTGCCACAGCCACCCAGGTACCGTTATAGGGCAAACTAGCCCGCAGGAGCTGCAAGGCCAACCGAGTCACGTAGATATAGCAAATGACGAGCAGGTAAAATGATCGAAATTGCGTGAGTTTCTGGAGATTAATAAAGGCCTTGCCGTCTGTTGCAGCGGCAACTCGCAGTTGACGAATAGACCACACAATCGGAAGCAACACTGCAGCACAGCAAGCCACGTCTGCAATGATTAAGACATCTCGCCAGCTTACCCAAGCACGTGTACCCACTGCAGTCTCTGCCTCTACAATCTGGGCAATGTTGCTTATGACCTGCAGTACTAGCACCAGCGACAGCACCGACTTGTCCTTCTGCGACAAATGAGGTTTCAATAGTGACCATCCCGTACCAATAAGCATCAGCACCGAGAATAGTAAAATCCCCTTTAGACTTAAAAACGCGTACGTCACTGCTGTCCACGCAGTAAGAGTGTCACCGTTACGTTTCATGTAGTACGCATGCATTGCTTCAGCAAATAGTGCTACCGTCTTAACTGACACCAGTACTGCCATGAACCAATGAACTCGTTGCACATGTTCCAAATTTTTCACGAGACACCACCACCAAACTACTGCAGCACTTAAAAAGAGCAAGCTCATTACCAGATAAACACTTGGTAAAGGTGCATCCCCAATGGACAAAAAATTGTGATCTCCATTCTTGAACAATGCGTCCATCTAAACACACCATATCACGAAAAGCAGTATCCATAATACAAAAAGCAATTAGCTGGCTACCATTTAAAGCAACATAATACACGAGAAAAAAAATCATACTTACATGGAAAGAGACCTTGATTCCAGGTGTACACTGGGCATAGAAAATGTAATAAAACCCAATCTTTTGTAGTCTTTTGTGTCCATTGTCTTCTGTGCCTTCAAGTTCCATACTCCGACTAATATTCCTGTTCAGAGGTCAGAATCAGATTTAGATTTTCATATCAGTTAAGGTTACAAAACATAACAGTATCAAATATCAGTATCATACCAGGTTTGTGCCTTATTGAGATCAATCCATTCATCATCGTGACGTAGTTGCAGAATACACTCGTCTGTTTCGTTATCAATAGCTTCAGTTACGCTTGAGTCTTCTAACAATGCTACCGTCTCCCATAACTTATCTTGCTATGAATTTATTCAAGTATATAAAGTATCAAAAAAGTTAGTATTTTAAATTTCTATTTGTCAAAAATTACGATTTTGCACAAAATGCACAAAATAAATTACGTACATGCACAAATAATAGTCCTGCCTGAATTGTGTAAGACTTTTCTGGTGTATTAATTTCTACATTGGACACGTGCACGTCCATGTGTCCTGAGTGCCCAAAACCAAAGCGTTCAATGAAAAAGTGTGGACGGTCCTCAGCCTCAAACATCCATGATTGTTTCATAGCAGCGACACCAGTCAGCACAAATGCTGCATTTAGTAGTGCCCTTTTCCCCATTAGCTCCAATTTGTGATTCTGGTCGTGTATCAATATGTGATGGCTACATGTAGCTATGTTGGTGACATGAATACCGGTAAAGCAGCTTTTTATGCATAATACGGGCCTTTTGACCTTACAATATTTAAGCTAGTACCATGGCGAAGAATCGCGTTTACTCTAAAAAAGCACTTTTTGTGACAGTCGATACCGGTAGGAATTCCGGTAATATCAGCAGTCTTCGCCAGTGTCAATCCAACTTGAGTATCCGAACATTTCACAATTTTTTTGACTGAAAATTAAATTTTAATCGATTATTCTTCTTAAAAGGTCTTCATACTCTGTCTTAAGGTCATTGTATCGTCCTTCTAAGGTCATTCCTAGAAGAAAAAAAACCCGATCATCTCTTGTTACGTAGCAGTAAAAGACCCATGACTGCTATCAGCCATTGATTCTCTTATTCCACTGTCGCTTCGTCTTCAAAGTTTAACTCCACATAGTCCTCAATCTCTTGGACGATCAAAAGATAATTTTCTTCTTGAGTTGATTTTCTGAATAGTGTCGTCGTCTCCGTCCTAAGAGATGCATGGTTCATGTTATTCTCTCTCTCTTTTAACCTCTAATCTAATAATATAAACCCACTTACCTTGGAGTTTCCAGGGGATTTCCACTCTTACAACAACATCTCTGGCTATATCGGAGACCTTCTAGTGATGTATGGATCAATTGTTGCTGTCTCTTGAGCTCGGCAACACTGGCAACGATAACGTCCAGTTGCTGGAGAATAGTCGGAGATAGTTCCTCAACTACCACTGCATTGAATCTCTGCTGTAGCCAGAGTGCGAACCATTGGATGATGGAGTCTTTGGACCAACGTACAAGCCCTTGTGTTACATCCAAAAGGGCATGTTCCGATCGAGGAAACTCTAAAGTTTGACAACACTTTGGATCGCCCGACCAGGCTTCGGTAATGACCAAAGGTTCGACAAGATGAAGACTAGTGGATGTTGAAGATGGCTGCATAAGGGACGTAGGTCACGTGACGACTAGAGAGTGAATTAGAAAGTGTCAACGACTCGAGACTCTGGCGGCACTACAGATTACTTCAACATCTGCTCACTAGAGCGTGTACCAATGAGTAACCTTAGAATCCCTGACACGTTATGGTATGATATGACTACCTATCACACTACCCAGTAAGGGCTACGACCAGTACAAAAAGAAAACCTGAAGTCATATGTGCTCTAGCTTCGGATGCTTTGCAGTATATCTCAAACGCTAATATCCTTTTCCAGTACACTAATACTCGAGTGCCCATACATTTTTCTTCAAATAGTCTTCAATTGCAGCACATAGAGACTTATTGGGTCGAAGCATATCGACTGTCAATTGCTTTCGCGTCAACGGGTCAATCTCTCCATTACGTTGTAAATGGGTTTCCAAACATCGTCTCTCATATCTACACAACACAAGAAACAAAAAAATCAACTTACTCCACCCCAATAATATACTAGCAAAACTATCCCCAAAGTGTTTCAATCACGTACGAGACACCATTAGGAGTTGTCACAGGGTCCTGCATAATTTCCATGCTAATTGGACATATGAAATACTCGGGAATTTCGCCCGGATACATCTCCTTTTCAAAACATGCAGCCATGTGTTCCACATATGCCATCAAAGCATCCTCTTTTTCCGTTTCGACGAGTTCCGCCGTTTGTCGAGCTTGAAACAGTTGCACCAATTGACATTTGACCTCTTCATGACGAACAAGTCGTTGTTTTTGTTCATAATGCCATTGCTCTTTTTTAACTCGTTGTAATTCCGTCCGAATATCTTGCTGGAACGTAATGGTATTGGGTTTTTTTGCACTCGAAAGTGCCGTCTCCAGTGCTTTAACAGCTGCATCAAAAGCCTAAAGATGTTTTTGACTTGTTCCCAGTATGTAACTGGCTTTTGCATTCAGTGGATCAAATGTTAGTGCTACTTCACAGTCCTTACGGCAGTTTTCCTACTTTTCTAATTTTGAATAACATAAAGCACGATTTGAATAATATTTCGAACGACCTGGAGCCATGACCTAGTATAGAAGAAGAAAAAAAAGAATGAGGAGAGAAAAGGTAACGTAATAATAGGAATGTATACATGCTCAACGTACAATAGCTTCCGTGTACATATCAATAGCAGCATGAAATTTACCCTTTTGAAAGCATAAATTACCCTGTTGTTTTAGCTCGTCGCCTCGGTCAAAAGTAGCCATGACGGATAAGAGGTTTGAGAAATGGGGTGGCCTTTAATATGAGCACTTGTAGCTAAAACTAAAGTTTAGCTTAAAATTTAGCTATATTTATAGCGTAGGTAGGAAAAAGTGACAAAAGGTGCACTCGATTCCCCTTCATTAAAAGCAGTCATGTTTGGAGCTCTTCCCTTGGCCATGAGGCTTCAATGATAATAGTTATAATGGCTTCTCGATCACTAGAGACTTTTAGAAATTGCAGCGTAAAGACGACTTGCGTCACTTATTTGTCTGTACACAAACACGTTGAAGTGCAACTCTCCGTGAGCTTTTAGCTCAAACCAAGTGAGACTTTCCTCTCTCGTCATGTCCAGACGCATCAACACTGTGTCTTCTTCTTCTTCTTCTTCTTCTTCTTCTTCTTCTTCTATGACACCTGTTAAGGATCCTAGAATGACTCACAATGGATCGTACAATCAACATAGCACCCAATCACTTGCAGTACATGTACGCTACTGCTTGACAGTATGCATCTAAAGCTTTGCTTGCAGGAATAATGCAACGACGTGACGGCCCCCCCCCCCCTCACACTTTTCATGCTCTTTTCATTGACTGGTTCTAATATGTGCGTCTATGGCCAGCTCTTGTTTGTGGTGCTTGTCTGCTAAACGACTTGCCTTCTCTTGTCGTTTGCTCGGAATCAGTCCACCTCTCAATTCTCATCTCTTGGTCTTCTACAGCACTCACTGACAATGGGATCACTCACTTTCTAGTCATATTTATCCCTCTATCCAATCTACGACCATTCACTGGGACACGTCCACTTGACACCACCTCATTTACGTCTTCAAAACGAAACGTTCATGTCCATTGATCGCTTCAAGAATTTATAAATCTGCTGTCGTACGTGAACTGGACCGTTTTAATTGATGACCCAGTGGTTCCAGTTGCTACTACAAAACGAGCAAGTGTTCCGTCGTTTCAGCCATGAAATAATACTCATACAGTGTCTCTTGACGCAAAACGGCTGCCTCTTTACTCTGTAAAACGTGAATGAGACGCATCTTTCGGCGATGCGATCTCGATTGGCTATCCAAGTGGTGGATATGCTCAAGTTTCTACCGATAACTGACGAGTTTCAAGTGTATGGCCAGTCGGAACGTAAAAAAAACTCCGAGATGTCTCTTAGGCGTCAACGCTTGTACTATTCGGTGGTGCCAATCATTGTTTTCTTCAATGCATTGTGTTTCCCTCCCGAGCTGCTGAGATGAGAAGGAATGATGAATCGCCCATCTCCTAGAGATAAAGACGGTGGTTGAAAGACCGACCGAGACCCATTCCAAAATAGCGGATACGTCAATTCTGACTCATGTTCCAGTGCTTGAAATCGACTCGACCCTTTGCTAGTTCGTTCGTTAATTGCCTTCGATCGGTTAACCGACGTCTGACTGCTGTCCAGTACATCTTGTACAAAGTTCCACGCTCGTCTCAGACGAGATGTTTTACGTGCTTTTGAAAGGACCACCCAGAGGTCACAGAGGTGGACGTTGAAAAAGATGTGGGTGGGGCTTTCGAGGTCTCCGTTACCCAAAGCATGATTCTAACAAGCATACGATCAGCATTGGTTCATTCGAATACGGTGTCAAGATAGTCAGTGATTTCTGTCCGGAGCCAAGCAAAGTTGTCGGGAATGTTAGAGGAAGAACAATAGCATAAGGCAGACATAGGCAATAGCTACCATATGCATGCAGCTGCTGATCCTTATTATTCTGCAAACGCAATGCCCGTCATCGGCCAAAACGTGGTCCATCCTTGTCTTTTATGCCCTTGTCGTCAGCTAGCTCCGAGCTCAAAAGTTATCTCGTAGCGTAAGAGGCTTCAAAGGTACTAGCTTGATGGCTTGAAAGCTGCCTGGATCATGATCAACTAGCAGGTCAGTAATCTAGTCAAGTCTCGTTTTGCAGATACGATCAAACGAGACTTTTACACATGCAAGTGTGGCCGTTAGGAGCGTAACCGCTGGATAATCGAAGAAAAGCTGCCCACTAGCGTGCGATCTAGCAACCAAAGGGACGTCTCTTGATCTCTTTTTTCTTTCGTTTGCATGCTCTACCATGATCACTTTCAATTCATCTGTCTCGGTACGAACACCAGCTTCAAGTAAGTACACAACAGTACTACCATTATAGCTCAGCACCAAAACGATCGATAGCAATAACACAACAATGACACCTACCACCGACTGGAGATCTACCAGTGCATCGGAAGAAGGCGAGTATACCTTTATGCTCTTCCAGTCTGATACTCAAGCAACTAGTACTGCTTCGTATCAACACACTCAGCATTCAGATCCTCTTAACCAAGCTCTTAGCGACGAGGAAATGCTCGACGAAATCTTCCAGGAGATCATGTCTCCCCAGGACTCACAATCCAGCACTTGTGACCTCGAGATGACCAGCACTAACACGCTACTCAACCCGGCACACACACCCACCTCCATACTTGCAGCCTCTGAGTCCTCTGCCCCTTCGACACCTCAACTTACCAGTACTTTGCGTCGAGGCAGCATTCCATCTGCATCAATCGGATCCATTTCGCCCAACATGGCAGCAGCTCTCCGGGTATCAACTTACCCCGCAAGCCAAACAGGAGCTTCTCGCAATACAGTCTTCTTCCCAATGGTAAATGACCCCAAGGTCCGTGTCAATACCAGCCTCAGTGGCTATGCCTCAATGATCTTCACATCGCCAACGGCAGCCGGTCGTCGTGGCTACCGGCGCACAAACCGACCTATACGTCTACAGAAAAAAGAAGCCCGCCTCACGCATCTGTCGGATGCCAGGATGTACAAAAGGCATTCGTTCGCGCGGCTTATGTAAAGCCCACGGTGGAGGTCGTCGGTGTACGACTCCCGGCTGCGAGATCAGTGACCAAGGCGGAGGTCATTGCATTGCCCACGGTGGTGGCCGTCGTTGCTCCATCGGTGGCTGCCAAAAGTCAGCTCAGTCCAAAGGACTTTGCAAACTACACGGTGGTGCTCGGTTATGCCGCTTGCCAGATTGCAACAAGAACGGCCAGATCAAAGGACTTTGTCGTCTTCACTACAGCCTCACAATGGCAGCCAAGAACTCGGTATCAGTCAAGGGAGCAGGAACAATGTCTGCTGTCTTGAAGTTTGAGCAATATCAAAACACTCAAAGCCCATGCGACTTTGAGTTACGGGTCTAACCGACCATGTAGTTAGTAGAAATTCACCCCACACACACCCATACAGAATCGAATGGACCAAGATGTATCTATAAATCCATCTGAATAAACGATATCACTTAGAATACATGACATTGTTTGTTGATGAACACCGTCGAACAACGTCAAAGAACTCGAAGTATCAAGCCCGTTGTACGATCAACAAAATCGTGAGGACATCTTGCAATACACGACATTGCTAAGAACCATGTTCCACGTATCATCCGTTTACTTTGAGGTCTTTGTAGCTCAAGCGTAGTCCGATACACGCCTATCAGTACAAGCTCGAGCTTACAAATACCCATCGACCTCGAAATGTCAAAGCCTGCTTTCATTTTTCTTGATTCGTCACACACTTAGATCCACAAGAATGCTCAATATCTGCAGCAGTGATGTCGTATCTGTGACCCGATACTATCTATCTTCGTGACGCAGATCTAAGAACCTTGAGCGACGAAGACAGTCTCGACAATTCTTTTTAGACATCATGCACAGACAAGAATCTCATCTTTCAAACGAATTGAGGTAAAAGACCTGAAAACGGCCAACACCTTGAGTCTCAAAACGTGAAAATCATGTGAGTTTGTGCTTCTCCATCGAGCCCCACAACACTTGAGATATGTTCGGAACGACAGTTTCGTTGGATAACAAATATCGAAAAACTGCTTCATCTTTTCGATTACCACCCAAAGCTTCATCTCATTCACGTTTCACATCCTAAAAGTCCGTGCATTGTACTTGCTGCATGTACCATGATACTAGACATGGGTTTCTTCCTGCAAAGATTAGAAGCATAATGCCAAACAGTGCTTTGGGGTAGCGTACATCTACTGCAAGTACATTCACTTGCAACGTCATCGATATTCAGGACAGATACCACGCAAGCGTCAATCAACTCGATCAGGGGTCACCCTTAGAGACACACAATACATATACTCTCGCCAGACCGAAAAAGCGTTATGCCCATATAACAACGATACTCCACCCACTCACACACTCACTGGACCAAAAACACTGAACCAACACCAACATGCAAGACTTTCCGTCAAACTACTCAAAACCCGCCCAGAACGCCATTCAGTGCATCGCTGATTGTGTACATGCGACGCCGCTCGTGCTTCACATGTCCAATTCCGACACTCTGGCCACCACTAGCAAATGCCATCATCCTCATCCCTCCAACAGATTCCGGGTCACCGCGCTTCTCATAGAAAAAGACGTTGTTCACAACGCGGTCAAGTGCCGAGTCAATGTGACTGGGAACGGTAATGGTCGCCACGGTGTCAAAAAGAGCTTGCTCCGACACACGCATATTCCACTCATCTTGATAAACGACGTTGCGTTGCAGCAGAGGGAGTGCTACATCCATTTCTGAGGCCATCAGCTGCGGCCCTAACAGTTCGTGAATCGCCATAGCAGTCCGGAAAAGAAACACTGTGCCGTCCAGCAAAAAGTTGTCAAACACGCGAGCCGCCAACTCGAGCGGCAGCACCTGCAGGAATAGTGTCTGTAGCCAGTTCATTAAATACATAGAGCAGGAAAGAACGCCGATCTCCCGTAAATGATCATGCAGTCGGGGGTGCCGCGAGTTCAGAAACGTATCGAATAGTGTGTAGTACACGTTCGCGAGATCGGCGTCCAGCAAGTAAAAGGTGAAGAGGTGTTCGTTCACCATGAGGTTAGCCAAACACTGGAAAGTCAGGTAGCGGTCTTGAGGCATGTGCAGACACAACATGGCGGCCAAGTACGACATGCCTTGAATGTATCCCAGATCAGGTCGGTAGCACGCATATGTCTCGAGCACCTCCAGCAAAAAAGCGTAGTATGGACCGCTTGAGTCAAACAACTTCAGCGACGGAAACGTACGAGGTAGATCCGTGTCAATCAGAGCAAGGGTATGTTCGCGGCCGCCGTCCACAGTGCCGTTCTCCTCCTTCGCAACTCGGTCTTTCTTGTATGCGGCTGCTCGTCGACGATAAATCTTAAACATCTCCGGAGTCACCTTCAGCTTGTTGCCGATAGCCATGGGCCACACGCGAGCTCGAATCGATGGTGGGATCCCTTGACGCCACAGCGAGTGTGCTAGAGGCGTATCCTTATTTTCTTCCCAATTGCGCAAAATCCGTGTTCGCCAAAGTTTTTTGGCTCGCCGCAGCTCCTCCTCCTTCTCATGAATAGCCTCACGCGGGACACCATCAAGATCAATTGCCAAAGTTGGAGGAGAGCCTCGTCGTTGCCTGCTTGTTACGACGGGCGATGAGTTTGGCGGACCCGGTAAGACTCGGCCAAGATAGAAATCATCTTCACTCGCTTCACTGCCATCCGAAAGCTGCCTCCCTTGCATGTTAAGCCCATTCAGTACTGCTCTTGCTTGTGCTGTTGCACGAGATGCCGAAGATGTGTGCTCGTAAAGATCCGGGTGCACCTCAAGTGCAATAGTGTACTTGTGGCCGCAAGCCACGATGAGTTCGGTTTCAGATGAAAAGCAATCAATGCGTTCGGGTTTATCCTTGTTTGCTGTGTGCCCAAGACCGCATGCACCATAAGAGTTTAGCCCCCAAGCGAACATCACGCGCTTTTCTGTCGTTGCAATGGAGTGAAACGCACCGCAATACACTCGCGCCAACTGATCGGGGGAACACAACGCGTCCTGAGGCAGCTGCACGCGTGCAGGTAACGGCTGATAGACATCTCCAGTGCCAAGTTGCCCATATTCTCCTAATCCCCACGAATATAACTCACCAGTAGCTACCAGCACAACAGTGTGGGTATATCCGCACGCAACATCGACAACTGATGAACCTCCTGCTACCTCACGCAGCTTCTCAACGCAACGCGGTACCACTTGGTCTTTGTCGACATACCCCAGTCCACATTGCCCCTCACCCGTCTTGCCCCACGTAAAAATGTTACCTTGACGATCTAATGCCGCTGTAAAGTTCCAACCGCATACCACGTGCGAAATACAAGTTCCCTTTGGAAACCTCACGATCGGATGGGGTGTATCCCGCCATTTATTATCACCCAACCCCAAACGACCATTCCGCCCGCGGCCAAACATATACACAGTGCCCTTCGCAGTCAGAACAGCAGTATGCGCACCACCACAACTCGCGTTCACTACGCTTTCCCGCAGCAAGCTCATGACTTTGCGTGGCACAGCGCGGTCTCGCATGTCGCCATGTCCAAGGCGCCCGTCTTCACCGCTACCCCATGTATACAGCTCTCCAGCGTCCGTAATGGCTAACGAATGCTGCGCGCCGCATGTAATCAATGCTATTGTCGTGCGATGAAGCGCTTTTTCCAGTGTAAGCTCTTCGACAAGATGGGGTGACAGAAACGATGAATTATTCATGATACTTCGAGATGATTCGGTGTCGTTCGAGTTGCAGCTGGCTGCAATCGTGACTGCAGTTTTTTTGTCTTCGTTATCACCGTAGCTGTAGACATCTCCCGTTGACGTTAGATAAAGCAGATGCTCGCCACCACAAGCCACTTGAATAATCAATTGTCCATTAACCAGAGATACTCTTTTCGGACGAAGCACAACCGCGGTCCCTCCTTCTGTACTTGGGGGCCGCCCCCACACCCACATGTGGGAACTCGGCTCCTCCATAGGCTGATTCACTGCATCTTCACCTTCAAGCTCGGCCATCTTCCCTACTTCAATTTCATCTTTAGCTGTTTGTTGTTCGTTATCACCAGTTTCATTGCCATCTTCCCCTCCTATGCTTTCTCGAGCTTTGTTAAAGTCCATACTTTCATCAGCATCGTAAGCTTTATTGTTTGCGACTTCGGTATCCCCAACGCCAGCTGACAATGCAGATACCTGCAGCTCCAGGCTTTCATCTTGAAGTACACTCACTGCCGTAGCGTCTTCAGTGTCATTTTCCTGCATTGATGTCATCTGTGCATGAGACAACCCAATCGAACGAGGACTTCTGCTTTCTTGATGGCTTCTTCGAGTTAGCACTGGCTGCGACTGACTGCGTTGTCGAGGCATACGCTGCACTCGCTCAAATCCATGAAGTTGATCGTGCATAGTAGCCAGCATTTCATTCTGCAGAGCCACAAATGCTGTCATACTATTTTGCACATCAGTTCGTAATTTCACGTGCAAGGTCTCACGTTCTTGTTCCAATCGACGAACATTTGCATTTTTTACGGCCTCATTTTCATGATCCAGACTCGTATGTCGTGTCCAGTATGTATGTTTAATTTCCGGTAAGATATCATGACTTAATACTCCCAATGGTCCAAGTACTGCCTCATTACATTTTTTTTCAAACTCTGGCTGAAAAGTTTGCAGCATTTGAGTCAGCGCTTGGACTAATCTTGTAGCATGTGTGTTACTGTCATCATTTTGACATTTCTTGTCCTCTTTGGCCTCTGGAAATAATGACATCTCTGCCACTCGTTTATATTCGTCCAATACAGCTGCTGTAGCTCCCCACCACGTTGTTGTAGCTTGCATATACGCACGTACACAATGCCATAGAGCATTTAAATTACCTTCAGCTTGTAATATTTCATTTCGTAAAGAACTGGCAATTTCTGGCGTTGGTAATTTATCGTCGTCATTTAAATGTGCTTCTTCCTCATCACTCGGTAAGAAACCAGCATCTTCACTATCGGTAATACTCTCAGCATCCATGTATCGAATTCTGGTCATGGGTTTTGCCCAATCAGGTAGCACAGTTCCGTCCACGGGTTTCAATGGTCGATTACAATGAGAAGCTACAAAGTCACAAAAGATTTGCATATCTAACCCTGCGTTGGAGCTCTGATCATGCTGTAACCCCGCTTCATATTGCGACATGAGACACGTGATTATTTCTTGCAAATAAATTTCAAGTCCCTCAAAACGTTCTTGTAATTGAACGTCTGATAATGGACACACTTGGAGTGCGTATTTTGGCGGTAATTTAACGCACGGATGCAAATGTAATTTATTTGCGAGCGACGCAATTTGAGAATACCGACGATAGACGAGGAAGTGAGACGTTGATGTTGTGACTTGGATTACGTATGCGATAAAAGGTCTACGATCACGAGTAGTCTGAGCATGGTAAAACCCCAGCAACTGCACGTCCGAGAGGAGACCAAAGTTGACCATGTTGTGAATAGTTTACGTGGTAATTTATTCGATATGTGATTCAAGAGGGAAACATCAAGTTAATAAATGTAGTATATATCGGTTTCAAGAGGATACGTAATGCGAAAGGGATATTAATTGTACAGATTCGTATGGTGTATCGGTTTGGAAAGGCAAATGAATTACAAAGGGATATCGATTGTATATGAGTCAGACTGTTGTATCGATTTGAACAGGATATTAGTTTATGACATAGTTTCAAAAGGGAAACAAAGAAAGGAGCAACACATGGATGACAAGAGTGCGGAATGGACGTTGACGTTGCGTCAAGTGTTCCAAGACGTCCAATTACAGGCTGTAGAGAGCAGTAGTTATTCCCGTAAAGGTGTATCCCATCAACAGTCTCTTTTTCCAGCTGTTCGTCGTCTTCAGACGTTGTTTCAAGATGAAATATGGGATAAAAAACGTGGGATCATAGAAGAAGCGTTTGTTTTGTTCTTGGATGAACTCTGGGTAGGGATCACAAGAGTGTTGGTCATGAATAAAGTCACGGATATGATTGTCGAGACAATTGCGTCACTTGTGAGTGCTTTTCTCTCGTATAAGACGAGCCACGGGAAAGCCGATTTACTGGCTGAAGTAGTACAACGACTTCAGAAAGTAACACGAGCCGAAGATCGACTCGTGCGACTCCGAGCGTGTCAAATGTTACAAATTCTAGTCAATACAATGGACAACCAATTGGATGAACCATTGAAACAAGAAGTGAGACATGAATTCTTACGTCGCGTGACGGATAAAGTCACGTCCATCCGGATACAAAGTGTCTATGGCTTAAAAAAGCTACAAACAAAAAAAGAACAAGATCTCGTTACCGAGGAACTCATGAAACTGATGGTCATGGACCCGTCCAAGTGCGTTAGTTCCAGGCCTTTTTCTTAGTGTTACTTCAGGACGGCGTCGTGGGAGCGGCCGACCAACTAGCGTTACTTCATACTGACTCGTGTTCCTTTTTTTTGCTGTTTTTTGTGATTACTGTAGAGACGTTCGAAAGGCTGCTTTGCTTACTATGTTGGTGACTAAAAATACGTACAAGAAGTTACTTGTTCGTATTCGTGACACAAGTGAAGACGTACGGTATGCTGCGTTCTGTACCATTGGTGATGCCATGCCTTTGAAAGATATTCCGATTACGGATCGAGCACATTTACTGGATCAAGGGCTGCAGGATCGTGCTGCACGTGTGAGAAGAGCATGTAAGCAAATGGTGCTTACGAAATGGTTTCCAGAGTGTGAATCTTCACCGATGCTGCTGCTTAAAGCATTAGACATTGAGCAGTATCCTAGCATTGGTTCCAAGGTGTCGCGTATTCTTCTGCAACATTTCTCAGATCAACCGCGAGCAATGTTGGGAAAAGAAGGTGTTGTCGAGTTCAATACACTCGAATTATTGTCGGCGAATAGTGATGCACTGACTGCCGAGAGTATATTCTTCTGGAGAGAGCAGTGTTACTTTTATCAGATAATCGACAATGATCCACAGAAGGCAGCGGCTCTTGTGCCCAACGTGTCGGATTTTAGCAAATTGCTCGTGACCACGTGCAAAGCCCAAAGCGATGTCCTCTTTATTGCACATCAATTACTGGAACTTGGACATTTGTTGGATTTCCAGGATGAGTTTGGGCGACGCAATTTGCTGGATTCTCTGCGTACGTGTTGCATTTTGAGCGTCGCATGTATTACTCTCGTCGAATGCTAATATTGTTTTTGTGTGTGCTGTATGAAGAGAAACTGTTGCGCGAGCTGGAAACGGATAGTCAGCTGATCAAGGGCATAATGGAGTTGATGGCCTTTGTGTATTCTGGAAGCTCGGAGCAAGAGTTTATCCAGGTCGTCGCAGAAATCATATCTGATATGTACGACCCCGTGGAAGCACTCAGCCAAGAAATCTCTCTATTACAGCAAGAGGACTCCGAGATTGCTTCGTCGCAACAGGAACCACTGACACCACTGACTGAGGATGAAGCCCCAGCGCTCAGCTTTGGTCCTCATTTGCATAAACTGAGTGAGGAAGAGCGCGAAGCGGCAGAAATCAAATTTGAAGAGCTAGAAAAGCATCTCGAAACACTCGAGTTTGACTCGGAAGAGTACAATAAGGTTCAGGCAGAGATGGCGAAAGTGGAGGCACTTCTACAAGACCCAAGGGTGCTTAGCTGGCTTCGATGTCTCGAGATTGTGGCTCAGCTACTTAAACTAACGTCGCACAATTTGAGCGATCCCGTTGTAGAGGGAATGGGTCGTTATATTCTTCCTGCAATCGACAGTGACGTGCCGGCACTACGTGAAGCTGGCCTAGAGAACCTCGGACTGTTCTGTCTGCTTGATAAGCGTATCGCGGAGCGCTATTTGATCGTGTTTTGGCGAGCGTTGAATAATCCAGAAGAAGAGTGCGAGGTAAAGCACACATGCGTCCAGGCAATTCTGGATACGGCATTCAGTTTCTCAAATCTGCAGCCGCACATTTTCGGCGCAAAACAAGTTGAGGATGGCGTTGAAACTGGAGTAAACGAAGGCGTCTTTGCCAAGGAGGGTGATGGCCAGGATGCAACCAACAATAGCAGCAGTGTCGAAGACGAGGACGCAAACAAGGTTAAATACAAGGATGGAGATCAAAAGGAAGACAAAGATATAGATAGGGATGGCGAGGCGGAGCCAGTGACGGCCTCCGAAAAGCTGGATCTCGACACGATTTTCATTGGTCTGGCTCAGCTGATTACCGTGGATGATTTAGACCTCCAAAGCACTATTGTGGAGGGCTTCTGCCGCTTGTTTATGATGAATCGGATCAATAACATCACAGTGCTGGCTATTTTGCTTGAGACGTGTTTCAGTCCGAAGCTACAAAACATACAGAAGCTTGGTGAACACGGATATCAGTCGCGCTCTCTCCAGCTGCTGAGTATCTTCTTTCCAGCGTTCGTCATGGCTACAGCAACAAACTGCATGCTGCTGGAGGAAGCCGCTACTCATTTGATACAGAAATCAATGGAGAAGCTGGAGAGTGATTCAATGCTTGACTTGGGTGCTTGCGCTAAATACGTCATGCATCTGTTGAACCACAACGAGCAAGCGGAAGAGGCAGCAATGCAGGTGTCTGGAAAGAAACGAACAAAGAAATTGGAGAGACGGCACTGTGCACACCACAATCGAATTGGCATCACGATATGCCTGGAAATGCTTGCACTCGAAAAGGTGGCCGCACTATCGTCTGTTCGCCAAGACGTTGTTACTACGCGACAAAAGGCTCTTGTCAAGATGATCACGTGGATTGAAGTGACACTTGACGAGCAACGATCTGCCTTGTTGCTCAAGTATTTGCTGCAACAAATCACCTCATCGTGCTTGAGCTCTCACAAAGGTTTGCTTCGAAGCGCCGAGGCGGCATTGAAACGGATTTCCACGAGCTTCCGGGAGCAAAGCACCGACCAAAGTAATGACCAACAGACGGTCGCACTGGAACAAGATCAGACATGGGCGCACGGTCTTGTTAAAGAACGTGAAGAAGTGCTGCAAAAGGTGCTAGTGATGGCAAGTGCTGAGCATGACAAGTGGCTCAAGAAGCAAGAGAGAGAGAAGAAACTGCAGCGACGAAGGACGGCTCGATACGTCTCATCCGACTCGGCGGACTCGAGTGAGAGCGAGAGCGATGAGAATAGCGAGGACAAGACGGCTGCTGTACCAATACGTCGTGAATTGTCATCTCGTCGTAGCAAGACGGCAGCTGTGAATCGAATGCATGAGAAGGAGGGCGAATTTGAAGCAAAAATAAAGCAGGCGTTGCAGGACGATGATGCAGATGAAGATGATGAGGATGAGGAATGTGACGAAGAGGAGAGTGAATCAGACGAGGAAGAACAATCGGACGAAGATGGATCGATCATTGAAGACGATGAATAGTGTTGCCTCACGTATATTTACCGTGACGAAGTGAAGGTCAAGACGTTGAATAGTCAAGCCAAAGTTGTGGTCAATTGAGGCGACACATGTCCGTCATTTGCGACAAGTTCGATCATTGGCCATTTTCCATGAAGTTGGAGGTTATTAATAGAGTGATAATAATATCCTCTAAAAATATCTTACGCACGTGTCGAAACTTTAGCAAGCAAGAATAACTGATGGATGTATATCGAGTTAGAATAAAAAAAGGTTCATTTGAATCCTCGTCATCTATTTTATACTTGCATTACCTATGGCGTCATACACCTCCATCTGACCTGAAAAGAAAAAAAAGACTCTTTTTCAACCACCTAGTGTACCCAAAAAACACACTGAAACTCATTATCCAATTGAATGGCTTGGAATGCCTGAGAATATCGTGATACGAACCAATGAAAAACGGATTCAGTGTGTCGATTCGAGTGTTTTGTAACGGCTGTGTATACAAACTTTAAGTCAAAATCCATCCACTCCACTCCGAGTCAGTCCATGGCAGAGACGAAACCGGCTGGCAGAGAGAGAGAGCGAGAGAGAGCGAGAGAGAGATGTCAAATGTTTACACCTTTGTAATCGACACTTGGTCATTTTCCACCCACCGACTCCATGCATTGTCCATCGAACAAGAAGATTCCATTTACAATGGCATCTTCATCCCATTGTAGTTCTAAAAACGAACCACTTACAGCTGAACGTGCCATGATGGATCAAATTCGTTTGAAACTTGAACGTGCTCAACGTCGATTAGCTCGCAATTCTCCCGGAAGTTCCGGTAGTATCACTTCATCCTCAAGCACGTACATTGCATCATCATCTGAGGGATCAATGAAACCTCCTGTAAAAAGTGTCTTGATGGAAGATATGCCAGCAATAACTTCGAAACAATATGTTCCATCCTGTTCGACAAGACAATTGTCTGTCTCTTCTAGTAAACACGTACCATCTCCATCGTCTGATTGTCATTCGTCTCTTCCGTCAAAATACAGTTCGAGGATCGAGTCGTTAAAGGATGGACAATATCAGAGCAAATCAAAGTATGCGGATACTACTGATCCATTGAATGGTGGACCTCCTTCATTATCAACCCCTTATCTGGTTTATTCGAATCCTCGTGTCTCGACTACACGTTCCAGTTGGTACAAGGAAGAGAAAGTACGTACGAATGGTCCACCTTCAGCGATGCGATCAGGAGTTGCACGTCCTCCCAATTCCCGTGTTCGGTTTGAAGGACATGAAACAAAAGAAGAAGGTCGAATCTCCATTGACAAAACAGAACGAAACAATCGAGAGATGGAACGAAAACAACGTCACGATCAAATTAAAGAACGTCAACACAATCGAGACAAGGCACAGAAACTTGAGAATGGACACTTGACGAGACCTTTGACCTCTTCAATTGCACGGAGTCATCGCTCCAATTTGATTGAACACCCACCAAATTCTGCAATTAAATTTTCAGCTTATGATGATATGGTACAAACGATTCCAACATCATCACCAGTTGGACGTCCACGACGTAGTTCCATTGGAAATCCACCACCAAAGTCGGATATAAAGATATCGGCCTTTGACACTGTCATGCCACGTCGCAGAAGTTCCCAGGAGAAGCAATCAAAGTTTGTAGCAAACGAGGAAGTTGGGAATGTTGTTGTTGTCGGTGATACGAAACGTAATCAGAAGATTGTCGAGCAAGTTCATATTGAGCCAACCTCAACGATAGGTGTCAAAATATTACCATCATCGAGGGTACTAGAACCTGAAGTACCAACGAGTGTGTCTGACGAAGACGACACATCAGCAAATGAGACGGATGATAGTTATGACTATGAATTTTCAGACTTTGATACGGATTCAGAGGACCTGCCACCAGGGTACTCGGTTTCTAAGGATAATGTGATTCAAAAGGACCTTGACCCAAGCTTTGATGAGAAACTTCGAGCTGGCAACTTAGAAGCTTCATCTTCTCCAGCAACGGAGTTGTCACTTGTCAAAGAAGAGAAGGAAGAGAAGACGCAGCCGGTATCGAGACTGACGGCACGAGATTTAGCATTGCATGCTCTAGGTCGTGCAAGCAGCAGCTCGCTTTCGAACCTCAGTTCTCCAGTTCCTTCGGTAAATGGAAGGAATGCTTCAACCAATATGTCTGCAATAAAAGTGGGCACTGTGGCAGCAAAATCGAACACACCAGCGCCCATGTCGTACACACCAGCGTCATCTGCGTTCCCTTCCGCTCGTGCTCTTGGACGACGAGCTCCTGCTACGACAGGTCGTACGCGAAAGCCGCCATCGGCTCCTTCGACATCGGTTTCGAGTTATGTACGTCGATCACTACCTCGAACACCAATGGATCTAAAGAACGATTTGCCACCATCGATTGGTGTACTCTCGGGTTTATCCAGTGGATCATCGACCTTTGCAATGAATCCGTCGCATTTTTACGACATTACGTGGATGGTGGGGGAATTTGCGTTTTCCGTGCAACGAGTTTACACGGAAGAGAATGAGTACGAATTTGACGATCGGAATCAGGAACCTCAGCTTTTTTTACGCATGTTGCTCAACACGGAACGCAGTACTTGCAAAAGCTTTGGGAATGTCCGTGTAGGTGACGTATTGATTCGTGTGGGTGACGTTTATGTATCGGACCTTGGACTGGAAGGATCAGGCTCGGTGCTTACGAAATTTTTTGCAAAATTAACGGGACAAATCCCGATTAAACTCACATTTCAACGCATGTCACCAAGTGATTGGGAAGGAGGTGTGGAACTTTGAGATGAGGACTACATAGACGCAAAAAAATGATGGAGTTGGTGAAAGTTTAATACAAGAAGTGTTGGATATTTTTGGATATTTTTTTGGATATTTTTATCGACGTAGGACGCGTGATTTTGTAGTGTTTTGGTCATTTTGTTTGCAGCTTTTCGTTGGAAAAGGAGACATAGTGGCTAAGAAGTTTTTTTGGTACATTTCTTACTATGACAATTGGGTGAAAGCAAACAATACATTTTTTTCACGTAAAAAGTCTGTATGTTTACCTCTTATAAATTATATACAATATATAGAATGTCTTTATTTTTTAAGTACATTAAAGTATCAACTTTTCTATTATTATATATCTAAACTCATATTTTGTCCCTATACTTTTATCACTTTTACTCCTAACCCAACACAAAAACTAATCTTTTTCTCCAAAAATGAGGGCGACAAATTTGACGATTAAAATCGTAAGCAGCTCGTCCGAGAGTCTCCAAGTACAGGTGGACTTACCTTCTGCTACTGTCTTGTCTCTTAAGCAAGTAATTGCACAGCAAGATATTCATCGGTTTCCAGTCTCTTCGCAACGTTTGATTTTTCAAGGTCAAATTCTCCAAGACATGAAATTGTTGACGGAATATCACGTGAGTCGAGATTGTGCCTTGCATTTAACGCTCCTACCCGTTAAAAATGCACCAGTTTCGAATCAAACGTCTTGTACGCAATTGCAAACAATTTTAGAGCAAATGAGGGACCACGAGTCTCTTGAAATGTATACAACTGCCGTACAGACGTTGCAGAAAATCTGTTGCAATATTGTGGACCATCCGACGGAAGACAAGTACCGGAAGCTTCGAATTGAGAATGTGATGTTGAAAAATAAACTTTTTGATCGAAGTGGCGGGTATGAAAGTGTCAAGTTGTTGGGGTTTCAAGAAGGAGTCGAGACGGTGAGAGAAACGAGCGTGTTTTTTGCTGTGTAGAAGTTGGTAAAAACGAGAGAAAGAGGACTGATTTCATGTTGTGAGGTGATATTTTTCTGGATAGGGTCATGTTGTCTTGGTACCGACACCAGACAAGTGGGAAAATTTGGTGGAGTGTAAGAAGGTAGTGGATTCCATGGTGACAGCACTAGAAGGTGCAGCCCCACTTGCTGCTTCGTCTTTTGGTGCAATGCCATCAATGGGTGCACGGGGAGATTCGGTGTCACAGGCACAGGCTTTGCTGCAGAATCCGGCGATCTTGCAGTCCATTGCAAGCAACCCGATGGTGCAACAGATGAGTCAGCAGAATCCCATGTTGGCACAGGCGTTGCAGAATCCGGCGTTGCTGGCACAGTCGATGCAGGCTCTACAGCAGAATCCGGCGATGATGCAGCAAATGAATCGAATGATGACTGATCCAAATGCAATGGCACAAATGCAGCAGATGATGGCAGGTGGTGGCATGGGTGATCTCAGCGGCCTTGGAAGTTCTGCGTTTGGTGGAACAGCACCTTCATTGGCTGCCAGTAACCCATTTGCTTCCGGTTCTAGCAGCTCGAATCCAGTTGAATCGACGTCTTTCGCACCAACTTCGACTCAATCTCCGGCACCTATTGGTTCAATTCCTGCTGCTGTGTCATCTTCGACTTCGGCTGCTGCAGCTTCGAGCGACAATATGGATGAAACGTACGAAGAGGACGAGATCGCCAAGGCAATCGCGCGTTCGTTGCAAAACCAATAAGAAACGCAACCAAGAGCTTAGCCGGAGGAAAAGATGGATCGATGATATTGTTTGATCGCAAAGAGACTGAAGCTATAGCGTTCATGTAATAGCAAGAGCCATCTTTTTTCATGAATTTTCTGTTTCAGGACGACAATTGATGTGCAAATGTTTTGGAGTTATACTGTATTGTCCTTTATCATTACGTTTTAGTGGTTAGTAAGCACCGATTTATAAAAAAGCTGTTTGATAGTTTTGTATGTTCAAACCCAAATATTGCATCTTCATTAGAAATTGGTACTTCATGCAGTAAGTTGTCACTGTTTCTAAATTTCGTAAATTCATTTCTAAAGATTTCTTTCAAAGCAACGTGAAAAAACACGAGAGCGAATTGAAAAAAAACATGTCACTTTTTTACCCCAATCATACTGCACCTGTCCGTTCATTGTACATAAATAAATATGTATTTATAAATAAATAAAAACCCTTTCCATGTCTCTCATTGGTCAATATATAGCATTAAAAAACAATTCAAGTCATGTCAATCACATCACCGACGGTACCGGAGTCGGACGTGACGTTTCCTATCAGCGCTCGTGATGCATCCTATTGGCTCGCAGTTGCTTCTGCGCTTCCATCTTCACGTGTAAATACTGTCTCAAATGTATCTGCTTCGTCGTCTTGTCGCAGTTTAAACACAAACAGTTTTTTACTAAATCATCGGTCCAGTGGCTTGGAAACCGGTACTACCGGTATTTCGACCCCAATTTGCGAAACGACCCAAAAACGCGATTTTCATGTCGAAAACACCATTTTCCCGTCTCTTTATGATAGTGACTTTTTTGTCCCACGATTAGGGTCAACTCGATCCAATAGAGGACGTTATCATGACCAAGCAGCAGTATTCCAAGACTGTCCAAGAATTACGTCTCCATATACAAAACCCAAGTGTAAAAAACCAATCATTCGAGCGGAAGAAGTTTTTGAGCATCAACGCTATCAAATCGTGGTCGGATGGGGTTCAAAAGGTCATTTATTACCATTAGATCCTGAAAAATACATGCGGGTTGTCCGTCATTCCATCCAAAAAAACAGAAGAAATGGAAGAAATTTTCGATCGGCACAGGAACAAGACGATGAAATTTTGCTGGAATGGTCCCCCTCGTCGACATTTCCCGATATTTTACTACCAAAAGCATCAGAATGGAAGAAAAAAAGCTGTTGTAGTTTCAAACAACGTAGCAAATCAGTGACAAGTGATTTCAAAGGATCAAGTGGTGCTTTACATTCTGTGGCTGGAGCTGGTACTTTTGAAAATGCACATGAGGTTATACCAAGATGGGAATGGGTGAGTCCCTGGCATCTTGAAATTCCAGTGGATAATCCACGGGATGCAGTGGATGGATGGCAATATGCATCTAGTTTTTCACAATTTACTCCAAGACCATTACGTCGCACACGTGGAAGATCGATAGATTCTCTAAATCAGGTACCACCAAGGAATTCAAATGGAGAAATCCCGTCTTCATCTCCCGCCAGTTTGTCTGGAAAACGACTACGAGTTCGACGACGGAAATGGGTACGCTATCGACGTTTACGTTCGGGTCGGAGTAGTACATCCACTGGGGGATGTTCTAGTGCCTTTGATGATGCATTTCTCGACTCGATGAGCGGTTGGCTGCGGAAACGAGGTCATGTGCGCAAGAACTGGAAAGCACGTTATTTTGTACTGGAAAAATCAGTCTTGCGTTACTACACTGATTCTTCACGCACAAAACTAAAAGGTGAGGTGCTGCTTTTCCACCCGCAGACTCGCGTGCATTATGTGGATGTTCACGTGGCTGGTGGTAGGGATGCCAGTTTTGCTGTCCAAGTAGGTCCAGAATACACTTTGCTGCTGCAGGCTACTCAACTTCGTGACCGCGAAAACTGGATGTACTGTATTGAAGACGCACTTCTTTGTCGGGATTCGTATCACCCGCAAGGAGTGACGACTAGACCAGGACCGTTCTTTGATCTGCGTGAGAGTGTGGCGCATCGGCGGCTGCTGAGTGCAGAAGCAATGGCGCTTGACGGTAATTCATTCAGGGAAAATCTAGGTGGCATTAGCCATGCACACGGAGGTGCAGCCAGTTATGAGCTCAGTGACGACGAAGGCTTTGATGACGAGAGCGAGCTGTCGTTGGATGGACAGAGAAGGAGCGATTACGGTGGTAATGGTAGCAGTGGTAGTGATGTGCTTAGGCTTTGGGCCTCGTTGCATGCTAAACCGGGTGGTGTGCTGAGTGCTGTAAGCTCTGCATCTCCTACGATGCGTTTGCTGCTACGTGCGTGCGATCAATTTCTTGCAAGTTCCGCAATGCGTCAGCATATAGTCAACTTTCTGACCATGTTTCGTCAGAAGTACGAGCACTTGTCTGCTTCTACAGTGACGACAATGGGTTCATCAGCTTGGACCCGACTCTCGGAGCCCTGGGCGCCAGTCGGAATTGGTGGAACTGAATCGGACAGTGACTCAGAATTGCGGGACGGTTCGATGGGGGAAATTCCACACGAGTTGCAAAATGTCACGACCTTGCAGGATGCTCGTAGTCTTCTGGCGCTCAAAAACTATCGTTTTTTCTTGGAACGATCGCTGGAGCTTATCATGGACCATTTGGCTAACGTTGTGAACCCGAGCACACCTCAAAAGCACGGACCTTCTGCTCTGAATGAGAAGCAGGCTCCTACTGATGATGAGTGGGCGCTGGCTCGTCGTGCGGCCCTGTACAAGCTGGAGCGACGCACGTTCATTCCATTGCAGGAGATTATATACCAGCTACTGGGAGCTGGAACTGGACCTGGCTGTCGGCAGGAGGAAGAGGAGCGCTTTGAGCGATTACGAGCGTCCGTGGCCGCGCAACCGCAGAGCTTTTTGGAGATTCAGCCGTCGCATCAGTCCCCATCCGAGTGGAAATCAGTGATCGCGCTGTTTGACTCCATGGACAATTACTCTTTACCATCAGAGAAGGCCGCTGTTCTTGTGGAGGCAGCGCGGTGTATATACGAGACTCACGCAAGGGAGCATGGCTTTGAGGCTGACAGCGCTAGTAGCTCAAAGCAGCAAAAACAATCGACGCTTATGGCAGCCGATGACTTTCTACCCATTTTTATCTTTGTCTTAGCCCGTTGTCATCTACGCAGCGTCATTATCGCTCGCCATTTGATCAGCGAAACGATGATTACGGCATTGATGATTGGTGAGACGGGGTATTATGCTACGATGCTGGAGGCAGCAATAGGATATATTGCAGCTTTTGACGGGTGCTGCCAAGACAGACAAGATGACCAGTCGTGAGAGCAACGATGTTACAGCTACCAGTAGCTTTTGAGCTGTTGTCAACATCGTCAGCACGAACATTGCTACCCATCGTCAGTTACGCTTTGGTGGAAAGGTCGAGTGTCGGAATCATGTTCCGTAAACCAGTTGATCTACCGCAGAAATCCGACAAGTACATTGTCAGATGTAGCTCAAGTTTCCAAGAAAGAAGGAAGGATAAACACGGACACGTGGTTACATCGGATTGCATGAAAGCTTTGACGACGGATAGCCAGATGGTCTCGAAACTAGCTAATGAATCAGGTCATGTATGCTTGTCATCAGCGTTTACCGTTCAGGATTCTTCTGTTCGAATCAAGTAAATGCTACACGTACATTCTTCGGATTCTACGCTGGCTGGAAGGAATGCGACTACATGAGTTCACATGAGTCGGAATCCACAAGACACCAAAAGTCTCAGCTCACAACGACGATGTTAGATAAAACACGCACCGAGATCGTCTTTCGCCAATGTGTGGCCGGCCTCTGACAACCAGGTTCAGATACTAAGCAGTCAGCTGGAATTTGTTACTGCATCAGAGATACTGCAGCCTCGGTGCGTAGAGCCAATGCACACGGCCGTTCTCAAGCAATTCCAAAGTGCACGATTTGCTAAGGCACGTACGACTGACGACCGGGATCAGGTATGATCCACAGCATGAAAAGCTTGTGATGTGGTGAGACCGTTACAAAGGACTCGACAGAAGATTACAGGGAGAGGAGCACGCACTATCGTGGATTCCTGCACATTGACAGTATCATGTTGTCGCGTTGTGAAAGGAGACGGTGGGATCGCGACATGCTACATGTTCAAGAATCTTTGGACGGACGTGCTCCAAGAGGAAGTGGCTGTGCTCACGGCCATGATTCATCGCAAAAAACGACTATCATCGGTTGCAAGTTCATTTCCAATTGTATTGCATTCAATTGAGCCCGTCAGTGAATGCTTGTGTCTACCATGTCCAACGATCAAGCTCCACATTCATAAATGCATCAAGGAACTTCTCGTTCGCGACGGCTACGATGTAATTGAGACTAAGGTTTCCAGCACTCGGGCAGATCAATGCTATCCTTTGATGTGTTGATGAAACGAGAGATGATACGGGAAGATGTGCCGGAGATGATGGACTCTTACGAACCACCACGCTTTTAACCCGTGCGTGACCCACCGAGCTGAACGACACTGAGCTTGAAGACTCCTCAACTCACTTTACAACTGAAAGCACACCTGTCGAGCGTCTTGGCATCACTGCATCACGGCATCTCCAATCAACAATATGGGTGCTAGCACTACCTTTCGTTCTGATAGAATGACTCGTCCACGCTTGCGTGACCCGGAGCAAGATCGACCGTTTGCATGTCCCGTGCCAATGTGTGGTGGTCGATTCCATCGAAAGTTTACATTGCATGAACATTTCAAGACTCACACGGGTGAACAGCCGTACGAATGCCCCATTCAATCCTGCAGTAAGCGCTTCAGCACGTCTGGTAATCTGGCACGTCACAAGCGTCTTCATTCACTGCACAGGATGGAGTGTCCAGCACCTGGATGCACACGTATCTTCACAAACAAGGACAGACTAGTCAAGCATCAAAAGGTGCACAATGGAAGCTCCATCCATACATGCCTCGTTGGTGGCTGTGGCAAGACGTTTAGTACGGCCGGTAACCTCACGCGACATATGAAGACACAGCACTTGTCAGTGCCACCACTTCGAGCCACTTCGATCACCTCGCGAAAACAGCAACAATACTTGCAACCCTCTCAGCTTTTACAGCAAGTGACGACCAAGGAACTGTCTTCTATTCTATCAATGCGAGGGTCACCGTGTCATGAGATTCCTGTCGACATGATGACATTCTTGCCTCCGATCGAGGACCAGCTACAGCAGTTTTCATTCCTCAACAATCCGACCGACCCTGAAGTACTTTCAGAGGAGGACCTGAAACACCTACTCGAGTGTTTATTCTAATGGCATTCAAGGCATCAAGTCATTGCTTGATGGGTGCTGTGCTAGCTTTTGTAGCATGGATAGATCGGATCAGTAAACACGACACCGTAGCGCGTTATTTAAATGCATTCCATGCAAGCAACACGTCTTACGTGACTAAGTCGACCGGCCGAGTCAGAAGGTTCAGCATGTCGTAGTGTAGCCTGATGATACTTGCGTAGGAATTGATCAGATGCTGCTGACAATAGTACGCGCGACTAGTGATATCTCATCTGCCTTGCAGTAGCATGAAGCCTTGGTATCAACAAGGTTACAGACAGCAAGAGCGTCCAAGTGGTTGGAGCTCATTGAGACCACCGTTCTTTTCCACTAGCTCAACATCTTCTGACGAGCATCTTTAACAAAAAAAAAAAAAAAAAAATTACCCAAAAAAAAAAACTTAAAAAAAAAAAAAAAATAAAATCCAACAAAAAACAACAAAAGAGGGACCCCCCCCCCTTCTCCTCCCCCACCAAAAAAAAGAAGGAGGGTTCCTTTTTTTCCCCCTTTTTTTTTTTTTTTTTTTCTATCGATCAACAGGGAAGAAATATCTCAACCCGCTTGTAATTTGAGGAAGGAGAAAGTATTTTTGAACCGGTACCATACAACTCTTTCGCCTTCCTCGACGAACGCTATGACGTGCTCAGGGACATTGAAGTCGCAGGAACGACACGACTCGATTCAATTAACGTTGACTGTCACGTTTCCGGGCCACCAACCAATATGTGCCAAGTGAAAAGTTCACGCTTTCCACCACCGTTCCTTGCAGAGAGGTTGTCTGTCACCAACACCACGACAATGGTTCTTGATGGTAAAAGCCCTTAGCACTTTTGCAGTCGCTTTCAGACCGTCGAAATACATCTTCGGGACAGTTCTCTGTAGTTGGCGAGAGCAGTACGAATGTGATCTTATGAGGAGATCGTTGAAAGCTTTAGAGATTGATCTGCGCTCGTCGTCTTGACGCGTTTCCTCGCTCCATGTTTGTCAAAGCACGCTTTCAGCAACAGCGAAGACAGCATCGATAGTCTCAAACCTAAGCTTGTCAAGCTTCATTCAGCAGCTCTGTCCTACCCTCGCGGAATTGGTCCGACAGAAGCTTCGACTCGGGATTCCAAAGGCACACCTGTAGTTTGGATTCTCACAGGAAGTTGCAGATGTATTTCACGACGCTACGGACATCAGTTTTTGGTGTTTCTCGGCATATCGGTGCTAAGGGATGGAGACCCGGAGCGGAGTTTGGGCTATGCAGCTGTGAATTGGGGCTGCGTGTACTCGTAACGTACACCGGAACCGAGCAATCGTAACTCAGCTCGCAACCATCGTCGACAATCGATATCTTGATTCTCAACGTCATCATGCTGCCAGCAGTATTGTTCACTGCGGTAGGCATGGCTTTCCACGAAGCAGTGCCGGACTGGCCAACAGGAGTGTCTTCGCGTCAGAAGACAATCGAGGATGGCAGCTCTTCAAGGATGACAGGACCCACGGAATATACTCTTGGGGCTGACAACCTATGGATTGCAGACCAGCAGGAGAACAGATTTAAGACCACGGAAGTTGACCAGGGCGGGAAGTCCCTCCAACGGGAGGCCCAGGATAAGAGGGGGGAGGTTTTCCCTCTGCTGCGTGCGCTATGGGGGGCAAGCGCAGCGTGCGAACCGTAAGGGGAGCACCAACCCTGTTACCCCCGGGGGGAGAGGATCGATGACCGCGGTTATCATTCCCTCTTTCCCCAATAGTTCCTGCTATTCTACGTCAGCCTTCAAGACGCCGATTCGATCGCTGAGCGCGAATCTCGGTCCCACGAAGTGAACTTGCCAAGAACGTGAATTGATCGGCCCCGTCCAGGTGCATCAGCGGTCGATCGGGACTGATCGGTGTGGTGCCCGGCGCTTGTTGCGATCATTGAGCCACTGTTTACACCTCGGGCTGGATACCCGATTCCACGTGCCCTTTTCGGAGTGTCCCCCGTGACGCCCGACGTCTCGAGCCAGCAGATTGAGCCAGCGAGGCGAAGAATGACGAAGTCCTGGTAGAAGCACTCCAGATATCTTACCAATCCTTAATGTTTGAAATAGACGGTCTGTTCTTCTTCTAAGACCACGGAAGTACGACAAGATGCAGCTGTGCACCATAGCGGACCTGCACCGGCATTGGATTGAAAGACAGAACTTACTCGCTCGTCATATCGACGATAGGCGCACCCAAGGCATCAACAAACCAAGCTACGACGCTAAAGTCTATGCACCGAGCTTCGCATTTGGTGAAGGGCTTCAAGTACGAAAGGACCTGACAGGCCACATAAGTGGCATCATGGTGAACTCTGACCCAGACCAGCAGAGCATTTGTAGCTCTAGAGCATGGAAGCATTGGACAGTGTGTGTGTGTAGTTTCTAGAGTGGCTACGAGGCAAACGAATCTTTTCCATCCAGGACAAGATAGAGACAAGAATGATGTGCCCATGGGCACAAACCTGCTAGCAGAAGCTCATATATTACTAAACAAGAGAGCGATGGGAGCTTGGACGTCCACGCTTCCTTACAAGACACGCACGTGAGGGTCTATCCAAGGTGGTCCAAAACCAGCTAATCCGTGACCATCCAGACGAGGAGACTATATGCGTCGACGTGTAAGAGCTACTTTGGACACATCCTGAGCCGCCTTTACCTGGATACAACGCAACGGAGCGACGTTCGAGCAAGCGGACGTGATCATCAAAAAATTTGGGAGACCCCTACATGATGCAAATTTCGAGATGTAGCGAAGCGAGATTGATAGAGAGCTCAAGGTACAGACAGACATGTCGGATGCTCTGTCAAGTTGCAAGGGCCCAATAACCCGTAGAGCGGTGATGAGCCCGGTTACAACCACCAGATTTGAACGAGGCACCGGCGTTGCTACAGGTACCAGACACTTGCAACTCGAAAGGAGTGATGACGCCAATGTCTGTCGTCTTTCGCCAACATTGGAATATATCACCACGGCGTACAAGCTCGGTCGATATCAAATCGTGGTCGGACAGCTTTAGCTAATCTTTGGAGCTACGGGCTATCTCTACCTCCCCCCTTCCGTACAGACTCAAGGCATCGGTTGAATATTTGCTCATCTGATGATACGACCAACTCGAGCTGAGGATTACTACTGCAGCCTTAGACAAGTGGATGGATATTCATGTCAGCAAACAGATCCTACCAGAAATCGTCTTCTGGTAGGTAGGATTGCTACCGACACGGGTAGAAGAAGACTACAATCTACGACAGGCTTGATGTTGTTTAGACCACGATTTGCTCGTATATTGAAATCGACTTGAGATAGCCCATCGATGATGGTCCGTTGAAATTCTTGGAAGATGGTTGATATCGACTTCCACCCTTCAGTTCTTCAGTCCATTTCATTATTCATTTTTCCTCCTTCGAAACGAAAGAACAAGTGAAAACCTCCGACAATGACGATCGCCAGCTTTCTGTGTTTTGCTCTCCTCGTAGTTGCGATGGTCGTAGACCAAGTAACACCTACTTCGTACGATATGGGAAAGCTCAAAGGAGAGGATCCATCGAGCAATAACGAAAAACAGGAGGGGATAGAAGAGGAACCATATAAACCTGATCCGCACCCGATAACACTGGAAATTGCTCCAAATCCTGCTCCAATGCTTGCTCCGGTTCCTATCGTGACTCCCGATTCGATCCCTCCACCACCGGCTCCTGCTCCGACCCCTAAGTGTGAACATGTCGTGAAGTGGATCGATCACGACAAAATCAAACCGTTTCGCCAGCCTGACCCCGTGTCAGTTACTGAATTAGCTGCCCTCAAATTTCAACCGATGATCAAAATTAGCGGCGGATGTCACGCGTACCCCATGGTGACCGCAGAAGGTGAGACCAGCAGTGGTCTTAAAACTACCGGAGCTACTGATGGTAACTGTAGGGGAGCTCAGTGGGGGTCTCAGATTTACGGACGGGCAGCTTGGTACAGGAAGTATTTTGTCATCATGTACCTCCTTTACTTTCCAAAAGACTCACCAACACCGGGTATGGGTCACCGTCATGACTTTGAGGAAGTTCACATCTATATCAACAACCCTGCCGAAGCAAACCCGACGGTCTTGGCTGTGGCAGCGTCGGCCCACGGCAAATTCGAAAAGCACGCTCCTCCTCATCCCTCCATAATGAACGGTACGCATGCAAAAATCCGATATTTTAGCCAGTGGCCTTTAAACCACCAACTTGAAGCCACTACCGAAGAAGGTGGTTTTCAGGAATTAATCATGTGGCATCAGCTTCCGGAGAAGGCCCGTTGTGCCTTGAATACAGTCTACTGGGGCAAAGCGAACAATCCCATGCGTGATGAAAACTTTTGGAAAAGACTGGAAAAATCCTTTCCTTTTTGAATGAACAAGAGGTTGGTGGTACCAATGCACCTAGTAGACAACACATCATACGAGAATATACATACAGCAGTTAATCTCTTGTACTCCAAGTCTTTTCCAGTCGCATATACACATATAGTCGTCATCTCTTTAAAGTACATTGTGCCAGATTTTCTGTCGAGTTGGGGAGACTTTTTTTTCTGTCGAGTCGTACCTTACACTCAACTTTATAACGCCTACTTGGTTCTTTTTGTAATAAACCAATTACTCAGTCGAATTATCCAATATATAACCAATGAGGTACAGTCACTGAGGATTGGGTACATTCCACTTTCCAAGATGACCGACGTCACCACGCCCTCATCGGCAGACACGCCGCCAAATCATACGTTGTATCTAAACAATTTGAACGATAAGATCAAAGCTGATCGTACCAAGGCTACACTATACGCAACACTTTCTCAGTATGGCAAGATCCTGGAGATTGTCATGGGTCGTGCGCGACGACTACGGGGTCAAGCGTGGGTTACATTCGATGACATTTCGAGTGCCTCCAATGCCTTACGTGCTATAAACGGGTCCATGCTGTTTGACAAACCCGTGGTTATTCATTTTGCCAAGGAAAAAGCTGACGTAATCACTCGGCGGGAGGGAACTTTTGTCCCACGTGAGAAGCGGAAACGTGACCCCAAACCCCTGCTGCAACAACAGCCGCTTAAGAAACAGGTGGGAGAGACGGGCCAGGGTACGGCAATCCAACCGGGGGTACCACCCGCATCATTGCCGTCATTGGTGCAAAATGTACCCAATAAGATTTTGTTTCTTCAGGCACTACCTGATTCCTGTAACAAGGAGATGTTAAGTGTCCTATTCAAACAGTACCAGGGTTTCAAGGTCGGAATGTCTTTTTTGTGTCGACTGAAATGCAAGTCTTTGACTGAAATTGACACTGTTATTGTTATTCTTGTAGGAGGTACGTATGGTACCAGGCAAGAAAGGATTGGCATTTGTCGAGTTTAATGATGAAGCACAGGCTGCTATTGCACTACAAGGACTCTTTGGCTTTAAACTTACGCCAACCGATACACTCAAGGTCTCTTTTGCTAAAAAGTAGATCACAATGGAGAAGAAAAGAACAAGCTACGCGATCTTTTGCATACATGGCAATTAAAAGCCATGACAAGTAAAGAAATAGACATGGGGTCTTTGAACTCAGGTCAGCAGATGGGAGATTGATTGATTTAGTATCCATGTCTTCATTGACGAATGCAATAAAGACTTGTTGATTATTCACTTGATATTTGTATCCTTGTGTCGACCCATCGCAAGAATCTCAGCCATTGAATCAATTTTACCACTAACTACTACTACAACTTCCACCCCTCCTCTTTATCTCCATTCCTCTTCATGGCGAGCTCTAATACGATCCTTGTATCCGGTCTAGATGCACGTGAAATGGCATTAGCCAAGAACACACCCGAGCAATTGATCGAACATCAACGTGTGACACAGGGAAAAGTACGGACACGTTTTCCACCGGAACCAAATGGTTATTTACATGTCGGGCATGCGAAATCCATGAATATGAACTTCTTTGAAGCGTTTGAGAAACTTCAGGTGCCATTAGACAAACGTGAGACTTATTTTCGCTACGATGATACAAATCCAGAGGCTGAGAGCAATGAATACATTGATGCTATTGCTACTAATGTCCAGTGGTTGGGCTATACGCCTGCTAAAGTCACATATAGTAGTCAATACTTTGAGGAATTGTATGAATTAGCACTCAAGCTCATTCGAAAAGGCAAAGCTTATGTGTGTCATCAAACTAAGGGAGAGATTGAAGCTTCACGTCTTGTACTGCAACAATTTCATGCCACATCGGGTGCCAAGAGTGATAAGGATGTATCAGAGACGGCCAAATCACCCTTTCGGTCACGCTCAATCGCTGAAAATTTGGTCGAATTTGAAAAAATGCGGCTTGGTTTGTATGGTGAGGGCGAAGCGTGTCTACGAATGAAGATGGATCTCGGGAGTCCGAATCCCAATATGTGGGACCATGTGGCGTATCGCATCAGGTTTGTACCACATCCGCACATTGGTGACAAGTGGTGTATCTATCCAACCTATGACTACACGCACTGTATTGTGGATGCCCTGGAACACATTGACTACTCGATTTGTACACTGGAGTTTGAGACGCGTCGTGAATCTTACTATTGGCTACTGCATGAACTTGATTTGTTCAAACCCAACGTGTACGAGTTTGCTCGTCTCTCCATGACCTACACAGTGCTCAGTAAACGCAAACTACTCAAGCTCGTGATGTCCAAGATCGTGCGTGGCTGGGACGATCCACGTATGGGCACACTCAATGGTCTTCGACGTCGCGGCTTCACGCCAGAGATCATTAAGCAGTTTTGCAAAGAGATTGGTGTTACTCGCGTGCAATCGACGATCCAGATCGAGCGGCTGTACTCCGTGGCTCGCAACATCCTTGGCGAGTCATCAAAACGCGTGATGGCCGTGCTTGACCCCGTGGAGTTGGTCATTGAGAACTTCAGTGATGTACCTGACAAGAGCGCACTATCATTGCTCGTACCGGACTATCCTCAGGACGTGAATCGCGATGGTGGTAAAGCGTACCACCAGGTGCGACTCACACAAAAAATATTTCTTGACCGCACCGACGTACGCACAGAGGACTTGAAGGACTTTTTTGGTGTGGCGCCGAATAAGCAGGTGCGTCTGAAGTACGCGTTCCCGTTCACATGCACGAAGCTGGAGACAGACGATAGCGGGCGTGTGACAAAGGTGCTGGGTCAAATGGACTGGACAAACTCGGCAAAGCCCAAGGGCGTGCTTTCATGGGTGCCTGCGAACAGTCCAAAGGTGGAGGTACGTGTGTACTCGCATCTCTTCACGGTCCCGGAGCTGCCAAACGATGTGAAGGACTGGGAATCTTTTGTGGACTCAAAGAACTCGGAGCGTGTATATGGCTCTGCACGCATGGACCCCGAGTCGTACGCCAAGAACGTGGACAGCATCGTGCAGTTTGAACGTATCGGCTACTTTGTGCCAGACCAGGACTCGACAACGGACAAGAAGGTGTTCAACCAGATCGTGGCGCTCCGTGACGGCGGTGGTGAGGTGACTGGCAATGCGGCCATCTCGGGTGCCAATGCCAGTCGCAAGGACGCCCAAATGCAGCAACTGGCACTCAAGATGGAGAAGATGAAGCTGTCGCCGATCGACATGTTCAAAAAGCAGCCAGAACTGTATGGACAATTTGATGCCGAGGGTGTACCAACGCACAATGCTGTTGGTGAGGAGCTGACGAAGAACCAGCGCAAAAAGCTCAAGAAGGAGCAAGACAAACAGAAGAAACTGCACGACGCGTACTTGGCCAACGTGAAGGCGTAGACGTACTTGATGTAGCTATGTGTGACACGCCTCCGTCATAAAGTCTCTTAAACTTGATGCTATCTCACAATCGATTTTTACAGGATCGCAGTTTTCATGACCATTAATCTGAGTACAGGACGGAGACTGAGGTTAAAATGGTGGCTGCTCATGGACACCACATGAAGCGACATGATACAAGAGAAAACGTTACATCGAAGAGCCTAAAGGTCGTACAAGTAACTGATCCAGTGACAACGGTCTACAACGAACGCACGTTGCTGGTTGCTAAACCAGAAGAAGAAGAAGTCTATCCTTTGCCATGGTTCCGTAGTCCCGATTGGACTAAACATGTGCCATTAGCGACAAGGAATTCTACACGTCCTCATCTAGAAGACGAAAGAAAGAGAATCTCAGTCTGTCCAGCTACATTACCATGTTGTTATAACTCAACAGCATCAGACGGAGATTCTGAGTCTGATATGGAACTGGGATATCTCATTCGAAGACCCGTGAACGCACATGACGAGGAGAATGAAACCGATAGTTTTAAACAGTGCATTCAATTCCTTGTGGGATTGATTGTGCTTATGGCCATGGCATTGGTCTTGCTTATTATCTTTAAACAACAGCCTGATGACTTGCGTTGAGGTGATGCCAAAGAAACAGAAGACGAGAAGAAGTAATACGAAGAGAGAGTGTACGGAGCAGGTCATGTATGACACATATACCATGTACAATACTTGCCTATATAAGAGTCTTTCATTCAAGTCCATGGAGCTACAGTAAGCTATAGTATACATATGTGTTAACGTCGTATCAACTTGGCCATTTTACGTTATTGACGGATTTTTGTTGTTGCTTGTGCATAATTTTTATCTGTATTACTTCACCTTTACTGTTAAAACCTAGTAAATTACTTGAAAAAAAGGTCGTCATGATTATACCTCATGACTTTTTACCGTATAATACGGGACCTTAACTGCTGTTGTCACACTCTAGTTATTAAAAATAAGATTATTGACCAATCAACATCCATTTCGTACGACGATTGGTCAAAACAAGACACTTTAATTGCCAGCCTTTTTATTGACCAAAATAAACGGCCAGGAAGCGTTCAAAGCAAAAATGACGACCATGTTTATGAAGAATGCACTAATGAGTCTGCGTATACGTCCAAGCGTCTCTAGTATACGCTCCATATCCGGCATCTCGAGCCAAATTTTCTCTACATCGTCCTCTTTTGTACTTCAACAGCCGCCATTGCTACTGATATCCAGCCAGAAGCGTCAGTTCCATTTGCTATTGTCCGTCCTGTTTCTGTCTACTGTAGACTAATATGATGTTTTGTATACTTTCTTTTATATCACAGACATTCCAGTGCAAAACCCGCTGGTTTTTAACACGGGCCTGCAAATTGACGATTTTCTACCAATCAAAGAGCTCGAGTGTCCCACCAATAGCCTCAATGGTAAATAGACACAATTGGTTTCTCCTGTTTTATTCTGTTGTGGACTAAACATGTGGCTTTTTTAATCTTATTTTTTGTATGACTTTGCTCCTGTAGAGCCACTGCAGGCTATTAAGCGAACGTATCAGCCCAGTGTTTTGCGTCGTAAACGCAAGCACGGTTTCCGTACACGTCGAGTGTCCATCTCAGGTCGCAAAGTGCTGAAACGCCGTTTTAACAAGGGACGATGGCGTATGTCCCTATAAGTCTTGACAATATCAAGGCAGACAAGTGGAATTATTCCACTGAAGGATGGACAACACAGAGAAAACGAGCTTTTCTATCGGGTTTTAGACTTTCGATCTTCGGTCTGTATAGACAAAAAAGACTCACTACAGCAGGTGAAGGTCCTATTTTGGGTGTGTTGATATCCTCTTTAATCTAGTTTTGAGCTTGTAGGTGCAGTTGATAACAGCACTTTACCCATATATGTTTCCAATGCAGGAGAAAATACTTCGTAGATGTAGGTAACAGGTCTTCCCCCACTCCAGAACAGATACGAGCGTCCCCAAAATGGTCCCGGTGTTCCAAAAGCTTTTTCAAGCTCATTTGAATGACCACAAAAGACACTTTTCATGTCACGAAACAACTCCGTCTTGTGCTGCAGAATGTTCTTGCCAATTGGGATCTTGGTGTCTTTGAATACAGCATCGACGTCTTCCATGTTGATCCATGATGCCGCATACCCTAGACGTTCCCCACAGCTGTTTCGCAACCAGACTTGACGTCGATAGCGTGGAGCCTTGATGGCCTCAACTTCTGACGGTGCACCGTCTGAACTGTTTCCTACCGACAGCATCTCCAGTACGTCCACTTCAGTGGGAGAGCCCGTGAGCAGTCCCAAGTGATGAGTAGGTGAGCCATTGCCAAACAGGAATAACCTCCACGCTGGGCTCATTTGTGGGTGGCCGAGCTATCAGTCAAAAGGTATTGCAAGTTAGTAGAAGCTTAATAAAAGAAGCCCGCAGCCATTCGTTTTTTTACCAGCATGGCATCGGGTGAAGCTTGAAACGTCACTATTAGTTTGTACCACCCTTCAGCTTTAGTGGTTTCTGCATTCTTACATGTTGTGGCTGAAGTGGTGACAGTCATGGTGGTCGTCTTTGTTGATGTACATTTAGAATTGATTACCATTGCTACAGTATCTCCTCACTCTCAATATGTGGTGCTCCTTGATGGCCGCAAAGATGGTGATAAAAAGGAATTTAAAGGTAGAAGCACTCAACGAGTGAGGTTCAGCGTTTTGGTGCCTTTGATGTCTTGACGTATCTGACTGACGCTTTAGATCGTGCTGTTCGTGGTGAAACGACGACCAGTGATCTTGCAAAACATACAAGTGTCTCATATGAACAAGTCCTACGTAGCGTATGGTCCCTGCGAGAAGCTAATGGTAGTGTATTGAATCAGTGGGAAGGGGTGATGGTGGACTAGATCGTTTGACGCACTTGTTGTAAGATAACAAATCTTGAGCACGAGATTGGCACAATCATACGTTTGCAACCCATAAAATACCATCTAGATACCGTAGTTGAGACATAAGGATATTTTACCCCGTTAAGACTAGAACACCATGAAGGTACGATAGATAATCGGCAAAATATCGCTATTCTTGCTGTCTAGAGAGATATCTGACTACATTCCTGGTATAGCACCTCCGATACAGTCACTGTCGACATGATTATAGAGTGTTTGAAAATGCGATATTTTAATCGGACACTGAAGTGAAATTAGGGTCGCATGTGCTACGTTTTAAAAAGTTAAGCATGAAGTTTAGATTCATGTATATTTAACTGAAATATCACACTTTATCGATCCAGCGATTAGTGGATTGAATGAGACGCTCTCATACTTTATATCGCTCAGTCGGCTATTTTTACGACTGAAACGCTCCAAATTAGCGCCACCATTGGCTAATACTCTATCGATCTTCCATAAACTCTGCAGCACCTGTTTCACATGTGTATGTGGCGTACACCTATCTCTATCCCGACCTACCACCTCTTCTTTTTTGTATGTCAGTTACAAATTCCAAGTAATTCCCTCTTCCGTTTCGTCGCAAGAGTCGGTCGAGTCGCCAATCTTCAGTACAAAAGTGAACCGAACAAGAGGAAGAGGAAGAAGAAGGAAAAAAGTCTTTTAAACGTCACGTTCCCGACGCATTTGGTGCTTTACATAAACCATGAGTGTTTCAGGACGTCCTAGTGGCTTTGGTCGAGGCTCATTTTCAGCCGGACGTAGCTCGGAAGTTGAGCGCATTATCGCCGCAGCTGATGTTGACACCACTTTTGCTGGAAAGAAGGCACGCTATCGTGGCCGTCGCTCTGTACGTGTTTTACGGATGAAAAGATGTCGCTCTCTGTCCCTTTCTCTTGTCCCCTTTTTCTCTCTCTAACCCTATTTGAATCTGTGATCTTGTTCCATAGACGTGGCCAGGAGCGCTGGCTCTTTTATTATTGGGGTTAATTTCAGTTGCTGGATTAACTTATTATGGGATTAAAGTCCATGCAAATGTGAATGAAACGGAAGCCAATAGTGAAGCAGCTGAAGAGGCACGGTTTACAGACGGGACGCAAATTGATGATGGAAGTCCAATCGATCGAACCTCGGACCTTTTGATTACGAATCCAAAAACGTATCCGGATAAAAAATGTGAACAACCCAATTATATCAGTAAGAACGGTCGCATCTATGCACAATTGGCAGACGGGACGTCAACTCAACTTGATATTAAGGGGATCAATTGGAAAGGAATGGAAGACACTAAGGGTGTACCCAAGGGATTATGGGACAATACGATCGATGGCAATTCAATGTATCGATTTGGGTACTCGCTACGTTACAATAAGTTTAATGTGGTGCGACTTCCGCTTTCAATTGACTCTGTCATGCGTAATACGGAGATTGACTCGAACCTTATTAACACTAACTCGAATCGTGCACTGGCTACGGCTTCACAATACAATACATTGCTGGGTTTAGTGGTGCAAGGACTCGGTCAGTTCAATCTTGGTGTTGTACTGGATTTTGAAGTGCTGTCATCGACGGAGGACGACAGTTCGGGTCTCTGGTACGGCTCGACCATTAAACTCGCGGACATTAAGACTGCTATTACAAACTTGGCCGAAGCCATGTGTGACTCGACACACTTTAATATCATTGGTATTGATTTGAAAGACGGACTGAGCAGAGATGCGACGTGGGGTGATGGATCCGACACGGACTGGGCGGTGGCGGCCACGGAATTGGGAAACCACATGCTGGAAAAGTGCCCCAAGTGGCTCGCGTTCGTGCAAGGTGTGCAAGGCGAGAGCCATAAAGACGCGTACGGCGATCGTATGCTTAAGAACACGTTTTTGCCTGGCTCAGATCTCTCGGGTGTGAGTGAGAACCCCATTGCGCTGGACCTAGACAACAAGGTCGTGTACTCGCCCAAATATTACTCGAGCTCGTACAATCCAAGACTATTTTTCTTCGAAGGGGGTGAGACGGACGGAAACTTGTTGACAGAATACGTCGAGTACGCGGACGGTGATTTGTTGGCCAACGTGAAGCTGAATATGAATTACTCGTTCGGTGCGGCCTTCGACACGGGTATGGCTGTAGTTCTTTCATCATTTGGTGGTCTCGTGGGCGACCTCGACGCGACGAAAAAAAGACGAGCACGCGAATCATAAAGGACGTTATCGCTCAGATGACACAATCGACGGGGCCGTACTTGGCCGGTGGTTTCTGGTGGACGCTGAACCCTGACACGATGTGGCCGTACCCAGCTCCTGATGATTCAAACTCGACGGCTCAAGGTCTGCTGGACGATACGTGGCGTGCTGCGAACATGGATGTGCTGGAAGTGCTGGCCTCGATGACTAAGGCCATGAGCAGCGTCAAGTTCATTCCTTGCTCTACTTGAGTTGTGAATAGCTGAGGCCCTGGTTTCGCTTTCATTACTATTTCATTTGCAGTGCACTTGTTTTCTCTTTTCTAGTTCAGACGAAGAGAGACGATAAATATTAGTACACACTTCTTTTTTCTTCATCAGAGTTGTGCCGGTCAACTATTACCTGTGGGTTAAGCTGCCGCCTACACGAGTTTCAGTTCAAATTGCCTTACGCCACGAATCTACTTCTGTACTCTAACGCTTCTTGTGCGCACGGCCACTACCACGTTTACTACCGACTGAAGTCTTACCGTCGGCAGAGGCGGGCGGAAGGAATGACGAAGTGATGCTGCCAAAACCGCTAGTTGCAACTGTGGGGGCCGTGAAACCTCCAGCTGCAGGAGCTGCTGCCATTGACCCTGCCGGAAAGGGTGCAGCCGTAACACTAGCGGTTGTGGTGAGGGGTGCCATGGATGTGGCGCTTCCGAGGTTAAATGACACCGACTTGGCTGGAGCAGACGAAGCACCGAAACTGAATCCACTGGCAGGAGCTGGAGCTGGAGCAGGTGCCGCTGCAGGCGTCGCAGTTCCAAATCCAAAGAGTGACGGAGTGGCGGCAGGAGCCGCTGCCACCGGCTGTGGGGTAACGATCGTGGGTGCAACACTCGTGCGAAAGCGAATCTTGTCAATAGCGTCGCGTTTGTCCACCTCGCTGCTTTTCTTGCGCTTGTCGAACGGGTTCTGAAAAGCTGCTGGGTTCTCACCATGTCGAGCCAAATCTTCTTTCATTTTAGCTAAAAACAATTGCCGCATCTCCTCTGCCTTCTCGTGTACTTCAGCCACACGAGCAGCAGCCTGCATGAGTGCAGTGTTCTGAGCAAGTAAAATTTGCTGTAGCTGAGCCGGTGCAGGTAGTCCGATTGCATTGGCGGTACTAGTGTTAACGGGTTTTAACTGAGCTTCCACATCCTCAATCTGAGCTTTAATTGCTGCCATTTTTTGCTCATAATGATCCAGTAGCTTCCAATAATACGGCGATGGCATTTCAACACGTCGCATGACGTGATACAAGTTCGAAGCACTGTCATTGCTGCTATTGTCCAGGCTTCGACGACTTAGTGTAGCAGCATCTACTTGATGTAACAGCTGTCGTACATCTTGTCGTAAATGTTGCACAGCAGCTGTTTGACGGTCTTGACGATTACGTCTTGCCAGTACCTCTTGTTCTAAGCGAGTCATATTCTCCCGCAAAATTGTCATCTGATGAGGTGACACTTTTTTTAGAAATGTATCCAATTGGTCCTGTTCTTTTAGAAACATATGAAATTGCGTCATGTTCTTTTGCACGTCCTTGGGCAACGCTTCAAACGTCGTCTCCAATGTGATTGGTGGACCTCTATATATGTACAGTAACAAACATATTAAGTATGATCTCTTGTTTCTATTTTTTAGAAATGGTGCGATTAAATACGTACACGGCTTGAGGTGCTGGTTGTTGCGCTCCGAAAAAACCGAATCCTGTGGCTGCTGGAGTCGTCGTGGAAGTGTTAAATGGACTGGGGGTAGAGGGAGTGGATAGGTTAAAGTTAAAGCTACTTGGAGCCGCGGGTGCTGCCGTATTTGCTCCAAAACTGAAGCCAGATGGAGCGCTAGACGCCGCCGGCGTGGCTCCGAACGAAAAAGCCATGATTAGAATCGTAAGTTGTGTACAAAACAACAAAGTAAAATATAGGTGTATCATGTGGTCCACAACGAATGGCCATGAATTTCAAAAAGAGGTTATTGCTATTGTTTTACGGTAAGAATTATATTTTACAGACTGGTAATTTTGATAATACAGGTAGCCAGACATTTGTCCAACCTTTACGTGACACTTGAACCTTTATGGACATTACAATTTGTCAACCGAGTTTGCATGACGTTCAATATCTTACTTCAAGTGATGTTAAATGTTTACTCATGATCGATAAATGCGTCGACTAGTAGAGTACACCGGCCTCACAAAAGAACGTGCATTTTGACCTTAACGCCAGGCTAAAGTCGAGCATGCAAGTACACAAACTTCATGCTTAAGGGATTATAGCACTAGCCAGACAATGCAAAGTCTGGCTGACAAAATGTGGGCTTCATGCGTTTGCAGTGTCCTCACGAAGCTAATGCTACCGATCTTCGGTTGCGCTATGACGGGAAGGTCGAGTGGTCGGCATTTTTTAGTATTGTTGGAATCAGCTTTGTCAACCAGTTGATCTACCGCATAAACTAGACAAGTACATTGTCACACTCAGCTCAAGCTTTTCAGGTTATCGAAACAGGTGCGAAACACTAGACAATAGTAATGGAACCACACGTCCAGACCAGCTGTCAATAATCCTGTCCTACGTCCTTGCCATTCCTCAGTGCGTAAATAGCGAACCGGTGAGCCACCACGTTCTAGATCAAACAAACAATTGTCGTGTCGTCAGTCGTGCCTGTGGCTTGGTTTGGCAAAACGTGCACTTTGAAGCTGCTGTTGCATGACCGTGTGCATTGGCTTTGCGAATTGGAGCTCCTGATGCTGGCTGGGGTCACATGCGAGCTCTATGGCTACAGTGCCTCCTTGTCCTATGGCAGCAGACATGACCTTGCTAATCATTTTATGCGGTGTTTGGATCGTAATATGTCGTTCTTTACCAGCGAGCACTAGATGTGAGTCGAACTGATGCAGTAACGAATTCCAGCTGGCCGCTTACTATCTGGACGCGATAGTCGGAGGCCGGCCTCATTGGTAAAGGCGATCTCGGATCGTGTTTATCTAGCATCTAGCAGGCATCGCCGTTGGTAGTGGAGGCTTTGTGTTAGATAGAAACAATGGATTGCACGAAAGCGAAGCCGGTGTACGACGTCTTCCGCATTGTAAATGCAGACTGATGTGAATTTATTGAGTGCATTGCAACCAGCGACGGCTCCTAGAAATGTACGTGTAGCGCTTAATTTGTAGTGAGCGAACAGCTGAACCGAAAATTCCTCATGGTATGCGCTGATGACAGGTATGTGTAGTCTCATCAATTAGTCGAAACCAAGACCACCTGTCTACTAGCTCGATCTGTCATCAGCGCACAGGACTTTAATGCAATAGGTTGTAGCCATGTCACGTCTACGGGTATCCTATAATGAGCTTTCTTTGTCTCAAAACGGGATCAGAGACAAGTCGAAACGTCAACAGTTCGCCATGTGTACGTGCTCAAATGTTTACTCTCTCTGCGACAGTACGTTCGGTAATACATCACTACCCGCAGAACATTATAGAACTACCCCTTTACTCTGACATTTGGTAACCTTTCCTATTTCATAAACCCGTACAACATCATTCTTCGCTGACTAGCATGGACGCGGATCGAGAGCTCTTCATCCAGCAACTTGTAATAGCACTTCAGGAAAACACGGCACTAGCTAGCGGTGTTCCATCTCTTGCATCATCTTTGCAGTCATCTACGGAAGCTAATGATGCTGGTTCGAGCTCTGACAGTGCAGAAGAAGATGAGAAATCGCCTCAGGAACATACTGGACTCTTCCTCTCTAATGCTTTCTTAACTCCTTGCGAGGATAATGAACGCCTCGCAAAAGATGCGTATACGCAAATGCAATTCGACTATCCACGGGTACAAGACGCTTCGATTGAAGCTTTGGCGGAGCTTTATCGACGCATATCAACAGAGAAATCAATGTGGCAAATAGCTGCCGAGGTCCCTATTACAGCCACGTTATTGGACGGTGTGGCTTTCCTAAACAACCAGAGATCATTTTCTAGTAATAATGGGACACAGAAGTCGCAAAGCTCAGAGGCTAGTGGACTATTGGCAGCGTCGTTATTGTTACTTGTCGTTCGGACGTGTTTAGAGACACCAGAGGATGCACGAATGGATGCGCTACTGTCATCGTTGGAGGTGAACCAATTGGAAAAGCCAAAAATATCTGGTATTGAATCAATGGAGACAATAATGAAGAAAGACGAGGACGAGTTTGTAGAGAAGTTTGCAGTTCAGGAAGATCCAGACGATCTTAGTGAGGTCTATGAGGGACATTTGCCAGACCCTCGGAGTTATTGCATCTCTACGTGGAACCAACGGACACGAGCTATCTCAACAGCTATGAAGGTTGAAAAGCTGCAATACTTGGCCTCACATACGTTCTCGTCATCTTTTGAAAGTGTGTCGATGGAAAAGTGGGAGCAATGGCGCCTAGATGACAACCTTATTGCAATCATGAAGCTGCTTGTAGACCAGGAAATTTTCCCAGAGGCTAAAAACAAAAAGCACACAGCTGCACAGACTACGATATACGGCCCACGAGGCGAGTGGACTAGATATTTGTACATTCTGCGAGATCGTGTTTTGCGTTTTCCTGGCGCAAGTCAAAATGCTTTATGGCGGCTGAAGGAGCTGATAGAATTCCTACAGAGACATCAATCAGTTGCAAGTGCTGTGAATACCTCGCACCATCTAGTTTATCGTGTGTTGGCTGAGCTGGCAATGTCACGAGAGTTCCAGCAGGGTGCTGCCCAGCGTGCTCAACAAAGTATGGCATTGGTCGTCCAAAAATTGGTCCCACTCATCGCGCAGGATATTCATCAGCTCGTAACAGCACTAAAGTGTGCCTTTACGCATCAGAGAAAGATCGTGTCAGAGCCCAAACACGATTCTGTGGAAGTTAGTGCGGGGGACGATGGGGATGACAAGCTGATAGTGGTGGTTCTACAGTTGCTTCACTTCGTGCTATTTGCATCGTCCAATGCATGTACAACCACTGATAAACTTCATGAGAGTGGCATGCTGCGAACACTGCTCATGCTTTTGCCGCCAACAAGCGATTCAAACAATGAAAAACACGCGCAATTTCAGGAAAAACGCTGGTTTCCATCCCTTCTCCGTCTTCTTGGTGAATGTGCGTTGTGGCATGCTGGTTTTTCTGCGTACATCGCGCGTGTTCCAAAGTTTGCTGCGATGTTTTCGGTATTGCAAGAGCAGCTCGTGGTCGAACAGCTCCTTCTTGCACTTGCGTTTCATCAGCATGAAGTTCAGATTCAATCCACTCCAACACCTTTAAAGATTGAGATCTGGAAGGTATTTACATCGGAGTCACTTTTTCCACTGCAATGCGAGTCATATCTCGATGCGATGAAAAAGGTAAGTTTTAAGAGCAATCTGATGGAACCGAGTAGATCCCTTCTAACACCTTATTGTTATACATTCCTCTCCAGCTGCAGGATACTGCGTACATTCTGGAATGTCTGGAAAAAGCGTTTGCGTCCTTAAGACCCGCAATGCAAAAGGAGTTGCAATGCAGTCTCCAACAAGTCTACCCTAGTTTTGGGAGGTCGTTCGAGTACCCGATGTTTACTGTCGCTGGCACTGCTCGTCAGCAGCAGCAATTCGATTTACAATCACCGGATGATGATGCACATGATAGTGACGGTGAAAACAAGGAAAAGAAGGAGAAAGACCGCGATCAGGTAGAAGCTTTGCAATTTACAGCACTCCGAAACAAGCTTCGACAAAGTGTAAAGTCAGTGTTGACTGCGCTTCCTTCTGATTCTGCTATGGCTCATATTGGAGGTCGCGTATCATCCAAATTAGACTGATCATGTAGAAGAAAGCAGCAATGGAAGCTGAAAAAAAGATGATCCATTCGACTCGTAGCTAAACTGAATCTAGAAAAAAAGTAGAATTTCCAATACATACAGTATTACAGCAACCTGTTTTTGCCAAAAGATGAGCCCAAATAGCCCAAAAGATGATCACATTAAAACACAGCACCAAATAGTGTATTAGTTTATCTAACTCTACCTTGTTCTACTTTTTTCTTACGAGCACAAACATTCGATAAAGTACGGAGAGCAATGGTAGAAGCAAAAGCGACTGTGTAACGGGGTTACACGACAATTGGATACAGAGTTCCCTCCGTAAAGTTATGGGTACGGTGGACGACAATATCCATTACTTAACAGAGGGTATAACTTATCGGATTATGTGTATTGTGTACATAAGAGAACTTTCATAGTAAAAAAAACCTGGCAGGTCCAGCCCTAAGGTTCAGACTGCTAAAAAGACTTGAGTCCCTGACTCCTTTAATAGTTGTACCCGGCCCAAAGGTGTGAGACTGTCGTAAACCTGTATTTTCTGTGCTATGAGTGAAAGCTATATGTAAATCTACAGTATATAACACGTGTTTTGTCTACCTAGATAGTAGAAGATGTCGAAATGCTGGAGGAGGAGCTGAGAGAAACCATCTAGAGTTGTTGCGTGTCCGGGATCTAATGACGATTTCGGAGCTTCGCAATCCTATCAGGAGAGGATGAGACTGCTCAGCCGGAGCTGACCGAGAACAAGATTCTGGAAGAGGCAAAAAGCTAGAATTTCCAGTAATCATGATTATGTGTTATGCTTGGCTTTCTCTGCTATCTTTTCTCTTCTATGTATCTCTATCTACGCTAGTTACCCTAACGTTCCTGCTTTTGAAAGGCACAGAAGAAGGGTGAAAATAGTGGAAATGTGGCGCCTGTCGTAGACAAGTTCACCAGAATTGAAAAGACTAATCTCCTTCGTGATACCTGCTCCCTGCTCGATATATCTCAGGAAAGTCCTCAAGCCGCTTATAGAGTCCTCCCGCGACCTTCAGCTGAGTTTTTCGCAACGCACCCATCATCAAGCTACCCTTGACATGTGGTTTAAGTAGGTTTTCTCGTCTAAACTACAAAAAATACTCATTTAATAAAGTTATATAGCCTGACTATAACTTATAACTTATAACTTAGCGACCATAGAACGAGCTTGGTAAACACGAAATTTGATAACCTACCGGAGGTCATAACTTATCGGAGGATAACTTATTGGCTGTAGTTATATTTAGAATTATGTCATGACGCGGTACTAATAGTTAGTATCGGATTTCGGTACTCATTTTAGTATCGGATCACGGTACTAATTTTTAGTATCGGATGGCGGCACTCATCTTAGTATCGGATCGCGGTACTAATAGTTTGTATCGGATCGCGGTCCACCGGATCGCGGCTTGTCACTGTTGTGGTGGATGGGTTCTCAAAATTGTATGATGAGATCCCAAACCACTCACTGTGCCGGACTGCCAACTGTCGGAGGGGGTACCCCGATGCCACGTATGAACCTTCTCTCACCTTGTGTACCCGTCGGCTGGCGGGTTGCACTATTCGAAAGACTTGGTGAAGATGTAGACGTCTGCATTGAGGGAGGTAGCCACTCGATTGACCTTGTCGAGAGTGGACTTAGAGCCAAATTCTTCAGGGAGCTTATCCCTGGCCTTTTCCTTCTTGTTTCAGGGGTATCAACCACCTGACCTTTACTTTGCTCCCGGACCGTGAGGTAAGGGAGACCACTTCCGATAGCGGGTCTTGAGGGGTGTTGCTACTCGAACGAGCTCAAGCGAATTCGAATGTCTGCGATCGTAGACCTGAAAGAATTCACAGGACGGGACAAGGATGAAGATCGAGCGAGAAGTTGGGTTAACAAGGCCATGTCTGTATTCTTACGCGATCAAGCCCCGGATGATGAAAAATGTCTAGTATTTGGTGATTTACTTACGGGGCCGGCGCGAAATTGGTACATCCAGCTTAGCCGATCCACTCGGAACTCTTGGAAGTCGTTGTTGGAAACCTTCATGATATAGTATTGTGGATATGGTATGTCGGTCGGGAGACAATATCACCATGCGAAGAAGCGATCTGATGAAACTCCATTGGAATATTTGTATCGGCTGAATGTAGCCGCGATCCGAGCAAAAATCCCCATTCGGGAAGGATCGCCCTCAATTCGCCGAGAACATGTGGAACATTTCATTGGTACACTGGATGATCGCGATCTGGCTAAGCAGTTGACGTTGTTACGCCTTGGAGACGCCGACGATATGGAAGAAACTCTGCGAAAATATCAACGCATGGAGGGTAGACAGTATCCAAGTGCAATGGGGTCAAGCAAATTTCGTCAGGGATCTGCGTCGGCACCCACTCCGGCACCCTCGAAACCAACTCGTGACGTGAGAGCGATTCGCCTGGAAGGCAGTAGCAGCGAGTCAGACTCGGACCTTAGTGGATCAGACGCCGATACAGATCGACGCAACCTATGTGTGGCCACAGTACCAGATCGCGTGAAGAAATATGGTGATCAACGCGCAGGATCGGACCATTTTGATCAAGATCGCAGTCCAGATCGCATGGGGAATCAGAAGGCTTGTACCCATTGTGGGTCGAAGAAACACGATGATCGTGGATGCTGGAAGAGACTAACGTGAGGGGTCGTAAGGTACATCCTTCGGACAAGTGTTTTTACACCTGTGCTTCCTGCGGAGATTTCCATGAGAGTGGAAAGTGTCGGATGGAAGAATTCTACAACATGATACGCAAGTGGTATGTTCCAACCAAGCATGCTGGAATGCTTCCGCCGAAGTCTGAAGAAATGTTAAACTAGGACGCTCGCCAGGTTGGAATCTGGTACGAGCCGAGCGTTCTAGGCTCTGCATTTATGCATTTGTGGAAAGAATATTAACAGATCAAGGTGTTAACGCTTGGATCGACCCGAATAATACATGTGAAGATTCAAAAATTCTGCGTTCAATATCAAGCGTCGTAAGAGTTGATGAATATGCCCGATCGCCTGCCAAGATGGAGCTCGACTTAGCACCAGGTGAATCACGGGGATATTGGAAATATCATACCCCAGGAAAATGGTTCAAGCAAGCCAAGGCAACGGGCAAGATCAACAATGAAAAGGCGATTATGTTGTTTGATTCTGGAGCCGAAGTCTCAATCGTCGACACCACCTTTGCTCGTAAGGTAGGATGTGTCATTGACGAGAGTCAGAGGCAAGAATGTGTTGGGATTGGTGAGAACACATACATGACGGACGGTCGTACAAGAATCAAGATCACGCTGAATGGATCGCTAGTCTATTATTTCGATGCTTGGGTAGGAGATCAAGTAGGTCAAGACGCGATCCTAGGAATGGATTTCATGGTCCCAGCTGGAATACGCCTGGATTTAGCAGATGGAACACTTTGTTTGCCTGATGAGGTCAGGATACTTCTGAATGGACGAAGACCCCCTTATCGGGCGACCATACAAGCGATCACAATTCCAGATCAATATGTGGTGATTCCCGTGGGTAAACCGACCGAAGTGAAGATCGGAGTTAGTCCTCCTAAGGCCAAGATCTGGGTGAGGCGCGATCCGAAGTGGGTACCTACAGTAACTACGGGACCAGGTCAGATCAAGTATCTACAGCTGACTAATATCGGCGATCAAGAAGTGATTTTAAGTCATGGATCGCCATTAGGTTGGTGGATGGTCGCTGATATGATACCTCGGTCCCCAGGATATGTCTCGGTAGGATCGCGTCGGTATAACGAATGGCAGACATTAGCGTTCGAAGCGACAACGGATCGGGAAGAAGAGCCACCGGAAGAATATACCGGACTGCTAGTGGATCATCATTCATACCCTACGCCGAAAAAGGTTTTAACACGCTCAAAGGAGGAAGCAGAAAAAAGGACCACGGAAACGGCGAAACTCGCGTCACGATCCAATGATGAACGCAATACAATAAGTGACGTCGATGATAAAGTTGTAGAAGACAAGGAGATCAAGGATGGACATCAACAATCAACACGATCGCTGTTTATGATTAATTTGATTAAAGGGACGCCAGAAGTTGATCAAGTACAGGATGCACCAGTCAAGGAAGCTCGCACCAACGAGGGCCTCGATTCAGAATTTATTGCTCACTATATAAATTTTGTTAATCCTGATTATGGAGATCACGATCCGGCCATTACAGATCGCGATCCAGCAATTGTCGATGGTGTAGATCGCGATCCACTAATTATCGATTGTGATTCTGTGGATCGCGATCCATTGTAATTGATTGTCTAGATCGAGATCCAGTAATTATTAATTGTGATTCTGTGGATCGCGATCCATTGATTATTGATGGTGTAGATCGCGATCCAGCAATTACCAATGTGGTTTCTGTGGATCGCGATTCAACAATTATTGATTGTGTAGATCACGATCCAGTGACTATTGATTGTGTAGATCGCGATCTAGCAAAGATTGATTGTGATTCTGCGGATCGCGATGTGGCAATTATCGAGTCTAATTTTGTGGATCGCGATCCGGCAGTTATCGATGTGGTTTCTGTGGATCGCGATTCGGCAATTATCGATTTTGTAGATCGCGATTCATCAATAAAGAATCGCGATCCACAATCCCGAAAGATGGACAATGAGTCCGATGTGGAAAACGAGGGAGAATTTTTGACGGAAAGTAAAGATGTGAAGCTTGAGATTCCAACACATTATCATGAAAGCGGAGAGTTGTATGCCGAGGATGTGGATCAACATATGGCAGTTTTCCCAGAATTTTTTTCATCTACAGCCGAAGTCACAATTGATGACATACAAGTGGGCGATCCGGGAGTTCCGTTAGCCGAAGACCAAGAAGGATTACGACAATTGATTTGGAAGAGTCGTCATTTGCTTATTTGCAAAGGAAATGCTTTACCTTCAGCGGTACGCGGAGCTGTATGTAACATAGAAATTGGTGGAGCACATCCG